TAAGCTAAGCATAAGCTATAGAGAGAAGCTAGACGTTATCACAGTAAGAGTCTGAAGCTTTTGGAATTTGAAATAATGTAAAATGACGATGTCCTCCAACACAAGTTACTGGTCTGTTCCAGTTATATATTTCTGAAGTTTTACAAACATCGTAATGAGCATACAATTTTTTCCTGATATAATTTCTACGACTATGAAAATGGTATTACTAGCCTCCAGCTACATATGCCACCTTACAAATGACTCATGAACATGAATGAAATGTCTAGAAGTTCATCTTAGTCAATGCCCTCATTCAACTATTTTTTATTTTTCAATTCAGAAAATCTGACAATAATTAATCTAGGTCAGCATTCTCCATACTGTATCTTATGGAGATGAATGTTTAGAAGTTATTAAGTAAGGGGGGAAATTCCAGGATCCAGTAAGTGCTCACTAAATTCTCCTAGAGAACCACAGACCACATGTAGCACGAACAATCCCGTAATAAAGAATCTATGCAACTGTGACCCAGTATTTCCTACATTTGGCCATGGCACCTCTTTGTTGCAGACCATTTATAAATTATGGACATTCATTCCAGATCTAGATACTTTCTTTTGGACAAGTGTTACTTTTACAAGAGTCCAGGAAGGGAGTTTATCATGCGTAGGAGTAATTGGGGGTATTTTGTTCTCTCAATGTTTAAAGAGTCCCTGTTTCTGCTATTAGGGATGGTGGTATGTGGCATTCTGAACTCATTTTCTCCTAAGAACAATTTATACCAGCCACTCCTTAGTCTCCTCAGCTGATTTCCTCTCATCTCTCTAACCTCTTATTGTTAGCATGCCCTGGAGCTCAGTCTATGGACCTTGTCCTTTGTCTATTCCTGTTCTATTTGTGGTGATCTCATAGTCTGTGACTCTTTAATAAATTTAAAGGTTACTGACAGCCTGGACTTCTCCTCTAAACTCCAAACTCACACATTAGGATGTCCAGGGCATCCCCACTAGGATATCTATTAGGCATCTCAAATGCAAACATGTCCCAAATCAAAGTCCTCATCTTCCCTCCCAAACCTACTCCTCCTTTAGTCTTTTCCATTTCAGTTAATACCACTTTTCCAGTTGCTTAGGCTAATGACTAATGTGCCATCCTCCACAACACTTTTTCTCTCATGCTTCATATCCAAACCACCAACAAATTCTGTTGGCTCAACCTTCAAGATATACCCTCAATTGAGCCACTTATCACCTACACTCTCATCATCCTAATTAAACCTCTATTAACTCCCAAATGGATTATTACAACAGCTTCCTAGCTTATCTTCCTGATTCTGCCCTTGGTCCCCTGCAGCTTGTTCTCAAGACAGCAGCTAGGGTGAGCCTGTTAAGACTGTAATAAAGAATTTTTGTGGGGGCACCTGGTGACTCAGTCGGTTAAGCGTCCAACTCTTGCTCTCAGCTCAGGTCTTGATCTCAGGGTCATGAGTTCAAGCCCCGCACTGGGGTCCACGCTGGGCATGGAGCCTACTTTAAAAAAAAAAAAAGATTTTTTGTTTTTCATTGAGGTATTAAAGACTTCTCCATTCAGAATCCACTAATGGCTTCCTATCTCTGAATGAAAGCCAAATCCTTACAACTACCTAGGAGGCCCTATACTACATGGTCCACATCACCTCACAGGCCCCATCTCCTACTACACAGCCCCCTGTCCAGCCCCACTCTACTGTAGTCCCATCAGTCTTGTTGCTGTTCCTTGAGCTAGGCATGATCCTACTTCAGGACTCATTCTTTCTACCTTTCATTGTTATGTTAGCTGATTTTTTATTTTTATTTTTTAAAGATTTTATTTCTTTTTCAACAGAGAGAGAGAGACAGTGAGAGAGGGAACACAAGCAGGGGGAGGGGGAGAGGGAGAAGCAGACTCCCAGCCGAGCAGGGAGCCCGATGCGGGGCTCGATCCCAGGACCCTGGGATCGTGACCTGAGCCGAAGGCAGACGCTTAACGACTGAGCCACCCAGGCGCCCCTTGTTAGCTGATTTTTATTAGGTTAGGTTAAAAAGGTTTCCTTCATATTCCTAACTTGCTAAGCTTAAGGGTTTTTTTTTTTTTTTTTTTTTTTTTTGTAGAGGTGAGAGTCACATACCTTAAAATCAAAATTTAAAAAGTCAACCATCTTGGGGCGCCTGGGTGGCTCAGGTTAAGCAACTGCCTTCAGCTCAGGTCATGATCCCAGGGTCCTGGGATCGAGTCCCACATCGGGCTCCCGGCTTAGCGGGGAGCCTGCTTCTCGCTCTGACCCTCTCCCCTCTCATGCTGTTTCTCCCCGCTCACTCTCAAATAAATAAATAAATAAATAAATAAATAAATAAATAAATAAATAAATAAAAAAAAATCTTTAAAAAACATATAAAAAAGTCAACCATCTTAAAGTGAACAATTCAGTGGCATTTAATACATTCACAATGTTGTATAACCATCTTTATTTAGTTCCTAAACATTTTCATCACACCCCAAGGTCAACCCTGTACCCATTAAGTAGTCACTCCCCATTCCCCACTGCCCTCTCAGCCCCTGGCAAACACCAAACTGTTCTCCATCTCTATGGATTTAACTATTCTGGATATTACACATAAATGCAATTATACAATATGTGATCTCTTATGACTGGCTTTTTTCACCCAGCATGTTTTTGACGTCCATCCACCTTGTAGCATGTATCAGTACTTCATTCCTTTTTATGGCTAAATGTTACTCCATTGTATGAATATACTACCAATTATTTACTCCTTCATCTGTTGGGCTCTTTCCATCTTTCAGCCATTGGGAATAGTGCTGCTATGAACATGCACGTACGAGTATCTGAGTCCCTGCTTTAGATTCTTTTGGATATACACCTGGGAGCAGAATTGCTGGGTCATATGGTAATTCCATGTTTTAACTTCTTGAGGAGCTGCTGAACTGTTTTCCGCAGTTGCTAAACCATTTTACATTCCCCTCAGCCATGTGTGAGGGTTCCAATTTTCCCTTCAGGACTTTTGCATTTGTTATTCTCTCTGGAATGCTCTTCCAATAGATAATCCAGTGGCCCACTTCCTCACTTCCTTCAGGTCTATACTCAATGTCCTCTTCTCACAGAGGCCTATCCTGACCACCAAATTTAAAATGGCAACCTCCCACCCCCAGCCCACACTTACCATCCTCCTTGCCCACTTTATTTTTCACCATAGCATTGATCATCTAACACACTACTTAATTTTCTTAATTTTTATCGTCTTGTCTTCAACCACTGAAATGTAAGCTCCACCAGGGAAGAGATTTCAGTCTATTTTTTTCCAGCACCTAGAATAGTGTTAGGCACATAGTAAGTGCTCAATAAATATTTGCTGAACAAGTTAAGTGAGGCCCAAAGAGATGTTTTGGCAAAGTGTGACAAAAAGGAGCAAGAAACTGTCTCTGTAGTTCAGAGGCTATTTTTCTAAGAATGGTGATAGATTGAAACTGAGCCAATCACAACTTTTATTCAGCTGTAACCTTTTAAAAAGCACACATGCACGAGCTGGCTATTTCTGAATCAAGCGAAAGAACTATTTAGAAAAACCTGAGGGTAATGGGATCAAAATGTCAAGCTAAAACTCATTTGCCCCAATTAAAACTCAACTAACTGCCTATAATAAGCAAGCTTAGTATTTACTGTTTGAAATGTTTTATTTAAAGAAAGTAAAAAAATATGGTGCTACAGGACACAGAACTTTAAGAGTATTATACTTTAAGAAAATGAACCTAATACATACTGTTAGAAATAGAATCCTATGGAAGAACAAAAAGATGTACCCCTACCTAAAATATTGCTATAGCAACAGTGTAGTTTATCATATCCTCAAAATATAACAGAGCCAGGGAAAATATCTGCATATAAAAAGAGAATCTATGTTGAAACCACAAGAATTTTTATCTGGACAAAAGTTTAAAACTTGGTGTAATTAGTACTGAATTTTTCACTTGAAAATGGTTAAGATGGCAAAATCTATGTTATATATTTTCATTACAATTTTTGAAAAGTAAAAAAAAAATGGATAGAAAGATGGTGGATGAAGAAACATTCTGGGGACTGATACAGAAATAAAGACTCGAACACTGCCAAGTCTACTATTAAGAAACAAGTAGGAGGGCGCCTGGGTGGCTCAGTCGGTTAAGCGACTGCCTTCGGCTCAGGTCATGATCCCGGAGTCCCGGGATCAAGTCCCGCATCGGGCTCCCTGCTCGGCGGGGAGCCTGCTTCTCCCTCTGACCCTCCCCCCTCTCATGTGCTCTCTCTCTCTCTCATTCTGTCTCAAATAAATAAATAAATAAAATCTTAGAAGAAAAAAAGAAACAAGTAGGAGTAGAAACACTACTAAGAAACAACACTTTTGGAGATTTTGGAAAAATCATTTACAGCAGAATCAGTCTGGAAAATTAAAACTAATGGATTCAACTTTTTTGACTATGAATTATAAGAATTAGTAAGAAGTGGTCACTGAAACTGGTTTTCAATATGTTTCTGCTATAGGCTGAATGTTTGAATTCGTATGTTGAAACCTAATCCCTAATGTGATGGTATTAGGAAGTATGGCCTTTGGGAGATGACCGCATCAAGAGGGTGGAGCCCTCATGCGTGGGATTAGTACCCTCATACATCAGACCCCAGAAAACTCTCTCACCCCTCCCGCCAGGAGGATACAGCAATATCCTTCTACGAACCAGAAGTGGGTCCTCACCAGACACTGAATCTGCCAGTGCCTTGATCATGGACTTTCCAGCCTCCAGAACTGTGAGAAATACATTTCTGTTGTTCATAATATACCTAGTCTGTGATACTCTACTATAGCAGCCCAAAGGGACTAAGACCGTTTCAAAGTACAATTACGAGTACAAAGCACAAGAAGTTCTGCTGTTAAGATGAAAAAACCACTCATGACTGAGTCAAACAACTTCAGAGCCTGACCACCTTAATGGTTTTAAAGGTCACAAAGGGACTTTGCCAGTCTCTGAAGTTCAAGAAATTAGTAAAATATACATAGTGAGCTTTTAACTGTGCTGGAGGAAAGACTGTAAGATGCACTCAGTAAAGCTCTCAGTCTGTAGGCCAAGTAATCAAGCTTCCATGTAAGAAGCAAAGCAATGCTCCTACTTACATGATAAAATCTACAGCTTTTACATGAATAACTCCTGAGGCACTTTACCAATACAAATTTTATTAAAAAAATAAGTAATAACATCAAACTGTTCAGCAAATCTATATTCAATGTAACCAAAATAAACAAACACCAAAATAAAAAAAATATACATCTATATATATATGGGCAAGAAACAAGTGCATTTTTTGGTCCCAATATTTTCTGAATATATTATCTTTATCCAAAGGAATTACATTAATGGCTAAGAAGATATTATGTATTAGATGTACAGAAACATAGCTTTAAAATTTATTTTAAGGTCTGTAGGAAGTGTTTTTTGCCAATTATTTATGTCTTTGAATTGATAATCACTAAGATAATGATAGTCCCAAGATAGGCAGAGGATGTAATAATGTCTAATTACCAAATCTAGAAGCCATCAATAGGTAGCTACATGAAATTTGTAGAGAATTCTAAAGAATTTCTTGAGGTTCTTAACAAAACAAAACAAACACAAAACAAAAGTTTTAAAGAGAAGAGATAAAAGTGGACATAACAAAACACACATTAATAAATTTGGTGAAGGACAACATAAAACCAAGATAAAATTAAACTTAAAAAAATTTGAATATTAGTATTGCTGAAGACTCCTAGGGTTAATACTGGATAAAACTTCAAATGACAGTACAAATAACTATAACTTTGGAACTGTAATTTTAGAGACTTGTTTTCCAAGAACATGAAAGTAACCTTGGTTCCCTACACAACCAGTTTTTATATTCCTTGGACTGCATGCAAACTAGACAAAGATTAAAGGGCAGCAGCCAAAATGATTAAACTTCAACTTGGATGTTGAAGCACGGATTTGATGGGTCTTTCTTGGTTAGAATGAACCCAATAAGCATAAGATCAAAAACCAAAGCCCCCAGTGGGAAGTTGTGCTCAATTTGGTGGGCCTTGAGGTCATCTCTGGCCAAATTAGCATCAGCCTTATGGGAGGCCAGTCATGAAGGAAGGGACTCTCCCCAAGGTCTGATTTCTTAAGGCCACAATCTAGAGGAGGTCTCACAGTCAAATAATTCACATTCCTTGGAAAGAGAGAACAGGCATCAGTTGTGTCCATCGAAGGGGGACACTGACCAGGAGTATCCTGGACATTTTTTGAAATTTCTGTGTTGCTTCTGCATCTGAAAAATATGAAAAATAGAACAATGACAGACAAGGAAAGAGGAAAAAGACAGCTATCTGACCTAAAAATGTAAGACTTATAAGAAATTAACTAAGAAACCAGACAAAACAAAGAAAATGAATAGCCATATCATTTGGAATGCAATATTCTGAAGGCAAGTACAGCAGAGAAAAACACAAATTATTTTAAGCAAAGCAAAAAAAGACCATAGCAACAAAAGTTATTTTTGGAGAGAGTCAACTGGAGAAAAAAGCATATGTTAAGATATGTTAACCTGACACAAAGATAAGGTGGAATAAGAATCTAGTGCCATCTGAAAGCTGAAAAGAGCTGAATCAGAGCTAGTGTCATGAACTTGGCTGTTTAACCGCCTTCGTGTGAGAAAACACTTCAGAAGTTTGAACTTAGGAAACTGCCTTTGTGTAAGAAAACACTTCAGAAGTTTGAACTTAGGAAATTCCAACTTGTCTTGCACCAGGTTGCACGAGCTCCATAGAGCAGGAATCTATTTCAACAAGCGGCTTTAAAAACAAAAACAAAAACAAAATACTTTAATATTTTTCATTTCTATTAATGATACATTTAAAAATGCAACAGTGCTAAAATCCATCAAAGAAAAATGCACTCAATGAAAATAAAACTTACTCAGAAGTGGGTTCAGAACTGGGTTCAGAAGTGGGTTCAGAATTGGGTTCAGAATTGGGTTCAGAATTGGGTTCAGAAGTGGGTTCAGAATTGGGTTCAGAAGTTGAGGTACTTTCGGGAACTGAAATTAGAAGAGTTTTACGTTTAAAATAGTATAGATAATGAGTGAGACTATTAACTTAATGCAAAAGAGCCCATATTGTGGCTGATCAAAAATGCTGGAATCAATATCAGAAATTCAAAGTAACACAATTATACATACATACCATTCTCTATTATAACTTGGCAAGTATGAGTTTTACGTTGACACAAGTGTTTAGCCATACGGTCTAAACCAGAAGAATCAGTTAGGAAGTCACATTTAAGGCACACGAGAGTAATGCCCCTATGAAGAAAAAAAGAAAGCAAAGGTTTTTAATCTTTTTAATCTTTTATGAAAGTCCATATAGAAGTTCAATAATTATTTTTCCATGTAACAACTCTTGATGTGCTTTTTATGTGTCATGACCATCAATTTCCAATTTTGTTATACAAGCCTGATTTATCTGAAACGGTACTCTAGAAAATGACAGAGCCATGTTTAAGTCATGCTAACATTCAGTGCTTTGTAAACTGTCCCCTCTCATATTGGTTGCTAAAAGACAGGAGTTAAGAGACCTAAAACCTAGTGGTGGCTCCACTAACATCCTTTCTGTACCTTCACCCATCTGGAACACAAGGATATAATACTCATTCAATATACATTTGCTTTTTTTTTTTAAAGATTTTATTTATTTATTTGACAGAGAGACAGTGAGAGCGAGGGAGAGAACAAGCAGGGGGAGCAGCAGAGGGAGAGAGAAAAGCAGGTTCCCCGTTGATCAGGGAGCCTGAGGCGGGACTCGACCCCAGGACCCTGGGATCATGACCTGAGCCGAAGGCAGACGCTTAACCAACTGAGCCACCCAGGCGCCCCTCAATATACATTTTCTGAGGACCTTCTTTACACACTCCATATTACTAGGTGTTGTGGATTCAAGAGTGAACAAAAAAGAGGGTAAACTCTGTGGAGCCTATAATCTAATATCTTATTTTAGTGGTGATAAAATTAGAAAAGAAATGGGAAAGTTTTAAAAATAAATCATGTAATTTAATTATTATTTTCTGTCAGTTAACGAGCATAAACATACTTTTACAGTTCATTGAATACTTTAAATTTAAGTACTTGTATAGGAATAAAAACCAGTAGCATACTTTAGACTGACTTCTCCCCTGTGGCTTTAGTTTTTTTTTTTTTTTTTTAGATTTACTTATTTTGAGAGAGAGTAGGGGGACGGGTACAGGGAGAGAATCTTTCAAATCGACTCCCCCACTGAGTGCAGGGCCTACCTGCCAGAGTGGGGCTTGAACCCATGACCCATGAAATCATGACCTAAGCTGAAACCAAGAGTCGGACGCTTAACTGACTGAGCCACCCAGGTGCTCCTATTGCAGCTCTAGTCTTAACAGCCCGCTGTATATTTATACCTGGCTGTCATGCTGGCACATCAAAAATGATCTTCATAAACGGAAATTGTACTTTCGTCCCCACCCCTGAAAACCATTCCTCCTAACTAATAATCTTTCTTATGATGTCATGCTCCCAACACAAAGGCTCAAAATTATTTGACTCTGTTCTTAGAACAGTCAATATTTCAAATATTTTATAATATTAACAATTTATTGAACACTTAACTGTGTGCCAGGCTGAGGGTTTTAGACATATTATCTCATCTAAATCCTATAACAAACCAAAGAGGTAGGTGCTAAAATTTTTACTTTTTTATAAAGGACAAGGTCAGGTTTAATAACCTACCAAGGCCAAAATTAGATTGAAAATGAGCCCTTTGGGGTGCCTGGGTGGCTCAGTCGTTAAGCGTCTGCCTTTGGCTCAGGTCATGATCCCAGGGTCCTGGGATCGAGCCCCACATCGGGCTCCCTGCTAGGCGGGAAGCCCGCTTCTCCCTCTCTCACTCCCCCTGCTTGTGTTCCCTCACTCGCTGTTTCTCTCTGTCAAATAAATAAAATCTTAAAAAAAAAAAAAAAAGAAAGAAAGAAAATGAGCCCTTTGATTCCAGAGTCCATGTTCTTAAACAGTGTGATACCATTTCACCACCTTAACCCAGATTCTTATTAAATCAGACTTAACTACCGTAATAATCTTCAACAGTCTGTGTCCCATGCAGCTACATCTTACCTCATATACCCTCCACGTTGACCTTCCTTAATTCTACACAAAACACCAACAGTTTCCCCAATGGGTCCAAACTCCCTAGCCTAGTTTTCAAGGATTTCATAATCTAGATCTGAGCTCAAAACTATTCCCCCAGACTCTGATCTTAATACTATGTTATATAAACTTCATGCTTCATCTAAATTGCACTACTAGTCATTCATTGTGTATGCCTTCTGCTCTTTCCTTTCTGTACTTTTATTTATACTATTTCTTCCAACTAGAATGCCCTTGTGTTTCTTCTAAGTGGAAGTCTCTCCTCCCTTTGAAATCAGTAACTCTCACGGCACTTATTACGAACCTTCCTGTATTACTGTAGTTACTTATATTCACACCTTATCATAAATTGTACATTCCTTGAAGGTTGGTACCAAGCCTTCTTCATCATTGTCAACTTAATAGGAACTGCTATGTTGTGTTATACATAATAGGTGCACAATAAATAAAAAATGAACATTGCATTTTAACAAAAGAGTAATTACAAAATTTACTGTTTTACAGAATTATAAATATGCTAAGTCCCATACACAGAAATTTATCAACTTTCTATTTAAATCTGAGGCCCACCCAAGTTAAGAAAAAAGCATCTCAGATCTTTAAAGTCACAGAATGAATTCAAGAATCAAGCACACAACTAAGCTTGACAATAGTGAGGTAAATAAAATTACACTCTCTAATCTTTAGAATTAATAAATCCCTTTTCATTCTTATAAAATTTTTCAGTAAAATTCTACTTCCTTGAATTTAGTAATATTTTAAAAATAGCACGAATATATTTTTACAATAGAATCAAACTTTCCCCTGCCTATGAGCTGTTGGTCCATCATCCACATATGTCATTTTCAACATATACACTAATTTACTCAAAATATTTACAGAATGTCTACCATGTGTCAGGCACTACTCAATGCTTAGTAAGCATCTGACATAGACAAATATCCAAACCATACACATTCTAGTGAGAAGACACAGATAATTAACAAAAGAGTGAAGTATGCAACATGTTGGAAAGTAAAAAGTGAAGAAAAATAAAACAATAAAGGGGGATAGGGAGTGGTGGGAATGGAGCCCAGGGGAAAGAATGCTATTTTAAATGAAGTGGTCAAAGAAAGCCTCACTCATTGGACTAGAGACTTGAAGGAGGTGAGGGAGTTAGCCCTGCAGATATCTAGGGAAGAGTCAACAAGCAGAAAGAATAATAAATACAAAGATCCTGAGATCTATCATCCCCTCCTCCACTTTCCCACTAAGCCAAAGCATCAAAATAAGTACTGGCTAAACTTAAGTCTTTGTCTTAGCCTGGTGGTGCTACCAAGATCTTGGCACTGTAATTTCAAATAGCAATGACGACATGAGCAAAATAATTAAAGGAATATGAAGTCAAAAGAAATCAGAAGAATGTGGAAAAAAAATGATGCTTAGTGGATTCTGAGCTAAGGGTGTGTGGTATAATCAAAGTTAATTATCAATGCCTTTAGAAATGTTCATCAGCAATTCCTTTTGTAAACAGGTTGTGTACTTTTCTTTATTTCAAAATTTTAAAAACCCCTAAGAATTGTGAAGGCTATATATTGATCGAAACCGGTGTTATTCAATTTAGTAGATATCTTAAACATCTTTTTAATCTTCAAATATTGTTGGAGAGCCTTATTTTTTTTATTTTATAATGCAAATCCATGAAAGTTTCATCTTGATGCCTAACACCACTGCAACAAAGTTTAGCTAGAAAACATAGCTATTTCCTCTTTGATCTATGATATAATGAATAGAACTGTCTTATGTCTGGTAGCAATCATTCATTTTCCAAACTAGGTACTTAAACATCAGGTTAAAAAAAGTTACTACAATTTTTCAAAAGAGAGAATGGAAAAAGATCAACTACTTACCTGAGAGTTCCAGAATGCTTCTTAAAAATATAAAACCGTTTAGTCGGATGGTTGCTATGAGAGCTGGAGAGACAACAGACAAGTGGGATTTTATTATACAATAAGTCATATTAATTTTATGACCATATTTCAAAGTCCATGTTTAGTTTCTTAGTTTTGAATAAAAGATCATGACCTAAATTATTAAATTCTATTCTTTTGTTTTAATTCGTTTTTTATCTTACATTTCATTTTACCTGTGTATTTTCTAACAACATATTTCCCTGAGAATATTCTTAAATGATCAGTACCCTCACCATTATAAAAAAAAAAACCTCTCAAAGTTAAAAATGCAAAGAGCATCAATTTAAATTTTTACAATAATTAAGAGTTGAAAACAATTTAAAAGGTATTTGTTAATAATGTATTTTGCTATAATATAAATTGTTATGAATAATAATTTTCACACTTTCTTATCTTAATATACTTAGCAAGTGGGGAGAATCTGAATGATCCTTGAAGTAAATGCTACTTGGGCTAAATTACATTACCTTTACCTGCCATCAGTAAAACGAAACATTTAAAGAATCTTTTGCAATTATTAGGAGAGCCTTTAGGGAAAGCAAAGCAGAGCTCATGAGTTAAAACAATATTTCTTCTATGCACAGAACAAAAAAAAAAAAACCACTAACCAAGTTTTGCAGCCAATGGCATTAGCTTTTATACCCCCTTTTATTTTTATTTCTAAAAGATTTATTTATTTTAGAGAGAGAGCGTGTGAGCAGGGGGAGGAGCAGAGGGAGAGAGGATTCTCAAGCAGATTCCCTGCTGAGTGTGGAGCCTTGGCATGGGGTTTGATCCCAGGACCCTGAGATCATGACCTGAGCCAAAATCAACAGTCGACCACTTAACTTACTGAGCCACCCAGTACCCCCTTTTAAACTGATAAGGAAAGCCTTCCTGTATTAGAAAGTCAGGCGGGATTAGCCAGGACTAGCATAGCCCAGTGTTACTCAAAGTGTGGTTCATGGACCAGCAGCATCTATATCACCTGGGAACTCAGCAGAAACACAAAGTCTCAGGCCCCACTCTAGACCTGCTGAATTAATTGCTGGCACTGAGACCCAGAAATCAGTTTCAACAAGTTTTTCAGGTGATTTTTTTTTTTAAATTTTACTTATTTATTTGACAGAGAGAGAGCACAAGCAGGGGGAGTAGCAGAGGGAGAGGGAGAAGCAGGCTCCCCGCTGAGCAGGGAACCCGATGCGGGGCTCGATCCCAGGACCCTGGGATCATGCCCTGAGCTGAAGGCAGCCACTTAACCGACTGAGCCACCCAGGCGCCCCTTTTCAGGTGAACTCTTATGCAAGCTAAAGTTTGAGAAACACTAGCTGCCCTAGCTTGCACTGACAGACCCAAACCAGCCAACACACCAGGTCAATGATTATCATTAGACAAAAGGTAACTATCACCAGCATACCATGTACGCATGGGAAAAAAAAAATGATTCTGGCTAGCTATAATCCCATGAAAATAGCTGCAGAATAGGTGCCATGCTGAATACAAAGAACTGCTCTCTCAAGTAGATAAGACACATATTTAATATGAGGCAGAATAGCTCAATGGTACAGAACTCAAAGGAAGGAAGGATTCCTATGAGTGGCTGTGGTGATCATATTCTTCACAGAAGAAGGTAAACTGAGAGGGAAGAAGGGGAGCAGTCCAAGGAATAACAAAGAATATGGAAAACCACTTTAGATATTGAATATGAAACAAACTATATGTTGGGGAAGATTAATTTGGGGGGGCCTGACTTGTTACAGAGTCAGTGCGGGCTGGGAATAAAGGTACTCAACCTCTAAGAAAATGAGACTCTGTAGGTACAGAGCTCAAGTCTATGACAAAAGTCCACACTGGGTCAGGGTGTACCATTCAGAGGGAGGTACCTGAGGCAACAAAGGAAGCAAGACACCACTGAATTAGGAGAAATGCAAAGGCCCTTAGAAAAGCCGAAGTGGATACTTTCAGTTCTTTATGAGGCTAATAATGCGTAAGTGCTCCACGTGTGTTATAACAATGCAGTGCAAGGTTGGGGCTCACTGGAAATTAGGAAAAGGTTATAGAGGAAGCCTGAGGCCAACTGGGAATATTCGGGGACAGAATGGTATTGGAGGTCCTAGAAGACAGCTGAAGAACCTATGGAAAATGGGAGGCAGGAGGACAGAATGACCATGGGTTTAAGAAACACTAAAAATATTTTCCAATTTAATCTCCTACAAATTAGGGGCAGAAATAAAGCTCCATTGGGGCAGCCATGTGTTTGGCACAGAATAAAAGACCAGCATTCATAATTGCTATCAAAATACCAACACCACTTTTCACATAACTGGAAAAAATAATCCTAAAGTTTGTATGGAACCGCAAAAGACATCGAACAGCCAAAGCAATCTTGAAAAAGAACAAAGCTCGAGGTATCACAATTCCAGATTTCAAGATATACTACTAGAAAGCTGTAGTGATCAACACAGTCTGGTGCTGGCACAAACACACACACATAGATCAATGGAACAGAACAGAGAGCCCAGCAATAAACCCACACTTAACATGGTCAATTAATCTATGACAAAGGAGGTAAGAATATACAATGGGGGTAAAGACAGTATCTTTGACAAATGGTGCTACAAAAACTGGACAGCTACATGCAAAAGAATGAAACTGGACCACTTTCCTACACCATACACAAAAATAAACTCAAAATGGATTAACGACCTAATGTGAGACCTGAAGTCATAAAATTCCTAGAAGAAAACATAGGCAGTAATTTCTTTGACATCAGCTGTAGAAACATTTTTCTAGATATGTCTCCTCAAGCAAGGGAAACAAAAGCAAAATTAAACTATTGGGGCTACACCAAAATAAAAAGCTTTTTTTATTTTTTAAAGTAAGCTCCATGCCCAGTGTGGAACACAGGGCCTGAACTCACTTGACCCTGAGATCAAGACCTGAGCTGAGAGCAAGAGTCGGAAGCCTGACTGACCGAGCCACCCAGGGGCCCTCAAAATAAAAAGCCTTTGCACAGCAGAGGAAACCATCAGCAAAACAAAAAGGCATCCTACTAAATGGGAGAAGAAATTTGCAAATGTTATATCTGCTTCGCCCTCTCCCTCTCCCCTGCCCTGCTTGTGTTCTCACTCTCTCTCAAATAATAAAATCTTAAAAAAAAGAGTACAATTATCTTGATGAGCACTGAGCAATGTACAGAATTGTTGAATCATTATACTGTACTCCAGAAACTAATACAACTGTATGTTAATTATACTTAAATTAACAAAATACCAGCATTCTTCCCAGCAGTATACTGAGAGAAAGATTTGCTGGGGCCTGGTTTAGAGCAACCAAGGTATAGAAAGCCCTGCAGTAGTTGGGAGGCAGAGTGGTAAATTGCAGAAGGTGGACATTCAGGAAGCCATTTTGAATGGTGGCAGGTCAAGAGAGCACCATAGGCTTCAGAAACGTGTATTATTTTCAGTTGATGCTCCACATTTCCGCAAATGACACCTTGAGACAAACTGAGCTTAAAGAGTATTGGGGTGATGGTAGTTTGGATCCCAGACAGACAGTGATGTTTGACTTATTTTTGCTCTTTATAGATGCCAGTGGGTCAAAGATGAAAATATCTATCAAACTGATGAAGAGATGGATCTCAGGAAAACTCAGCATTGAAACTGGAGGATTTACAGTTGAAAGGTAAAACAAAATTCTGAGTGATTAAGGTACCAAGAAAAGGAATGTAAGGAGGCAAGAAGAGTTGAAAAAAAGAAAAGGTAAGGAAATAGAGGCAATCTACTGAATGGGAGAAGATATTTGCAAATGATGTATCAAATAAAGGGTTAGTATCCAAAATATATAAAGAACTGATACAACTCAACACCCAAAAACCAAATAATCCAATCAAAAAATGGGCAGAAGACATGAACAGACATTTCTCCAAAGAAGACATCCAGATGGCTAACAGACACATGAAAAGATGCTCAACATCACTCATTATCAGGGAAATGCAAATCAAAACTGCAATGAGATATCACCTCATACCTGTCAGAATGGCTAAGATCAAAAACACAAGAAACAACAAGTGTTGGCAAGATTGTGCAGAAAAAGGAACCCTCATGCACTGTCGGTGGGATGCAAACTGGTGCAGCCACTGTGGAAAACAGTATGGAGGCTCCTCAAAAGTTAAAAATTGAACTACCCTAGGATCCAGTAATTGCGCTACTGGGTTTTTGCCCAAAAAATGCAAAACACTAATTCAAAGGGATACATGCACCGCTATGTTATTGCAGCATTATTTATAATAGCCAAACTATGCAAGCAGCCCAAGTGTCCACTGACAGATGAATGATAAAGATGTATATATATACACAATGGAATATTATTCAGCCATAAAAAGAATGAAATCTTGCCATTTGCAATGACGTGGATGGAGCTAGAGAGTATAATGCCAGGCGAAATAAGTCAGAGAGAGACAAACACCATATGATCTCACTCATATGTGGAATTTAAGAAAAAAGCAAATGAGCAAAGGTAAAAAAGAGACAAAACCAAGAAACAGACTCTTAACTACAGAGAACAAACTGATGGTTGGGGGGGGGAGGGGGGAGGGTGGGATAGGTGATGGGGAATAAGAGCACACTTATCATGATGCGCACGGAGTAATGTATGGAATTGTTGAATCACTATACTGTACACCTGAAACTAATATTAACACTGTATGTTAACTATACAGGTTTTCAAATGAAAAACTTAAAAAGTAAAAAAAAGAGGCAAAAAAAGAAAAGGTAATGAAATAGAGGAGTAGCCAAAAGGGAAGAAAAAAATTATGGTAACATATTAAGAGAAGTTGAGATTTTCAAAAGTGAGTGATCAAAAGCATCAAATATTCTTAAGAAGTCACAGAAAAGTAAGAATGGAAATTATTGAGTACATTTAGTGATTAGGATATGACTGATAATTTTTAAAGGGGCAGCTTTAACTAATAGGTGGGGGTGATACTCAAATTACAAAGGGTAAAGAAGTGGCAAATAGGTAGTAAAGAAACTCTTTAAAATGTTGACAGTAAAAGGAAGACAAAAAATACGCACAGTGAAGGCAAATCTCCTTCATCCTAAAAAAAATGCCTGAAAATATGTGCAGGCAGAAGGAATGTGGTAGAGAAAAAGAGATGAAATGAAGACACAAAATAACTGAATAAGGTTGTGGGGAAAATGGAAGAGATGAGGGGCAGTATTTGCTTTCAAAAAGTGAGAAATATCTTTTTCTGAGATTTATGTCTGGATAAAGGGAGAAGAACCTGAGGTAGAAAAAAGTTAATCTTGGGAAAAATGAGAAGGATGACCTCTGAGTAATTAGTAGGAACAAGACTAACAACAAAGAGACTAGAATAAAATCTTGAGGGTATTGAAAAGGATTTAAACAGATGTTGTAGATAAAAAAAACAAAGAGGTATTTTTAAAAACACAGAACGAAATTAAAGTTAAAAATCACAAATTCAGAGCTAATTAAATCAAGTGCAGTTTGGTAGTTTGGAAAGGAGCACAGCAAAAGATTGAAAAGGATAAGAGATTCACGGATAGCAAGGTTAAACATGTCTGAATATGAAAAGGATTCTAGGAAAAAAAAGCAAGCAACATTCAAAACAGATGACCTTAAGGGTGAGGTTGATAGGAAGTTAGATTGGTGCAGCTGGACTGGAAAGAAGGGTCAAGACTCTAAAAATCATGAGGTAGGGCGCCTGGGTGGCTCAGTTGGTTAGGCGACTGCCTTCGGCTCAGGTCATGATCCTGGAGTCCCGGAATCGAGTCCCACATCAGGCTCCCTGCTCAGCAGGGAGTCTGCTTCTCCCTCTGACCCTCCTCCCTCTCATGCTCTCTGTCTCTCATTCTCTCTCGCAAATAAATAAAATCTTAAAAAAATAAATAAAAAAATAAAAAAAATAAAAATTATGAGGTAATGAGAATTCAAAATGAATACTGTATATGATGAGCTAAGTTGGGACACTGGTAAGGAAGGGGGTACAACATAGAACAGAGGTCTTATGCTCTGCACGAAAACCACTTTTATTAGTTATTTCTGATTGAAAATAAATGGAACTACCTCAGTTTGAATAATCAACTTAGCATATTTATATCTGAATAATTTTTATGTATTTAAATAAATCCTTCCTGGAAGAATAAAGTAAGCTGCTACTAACGAGGTCCAAATGAAAGTAATGTGGTCTCTGACGTCTTTCTCTAGCATAGAGTACACGGTAGGTGCTCAAATAAGATAAATTGAATTGATGTATGAAAAGGAATTCTAACAGTAGCATCATGACTAGAATATCCCTATAGTCTCTCATTTCACATTTCATTGTTGAATGCAAAGATAAACGGCTTGAATGACTAATGGACAGAAAGATGGATGAAAGGAAGGGGGGAGAAGGAGGGGGAGAAATTCTTAGCATCTTTGACAAACCTGGAAGTCTCTCAAAGTGACTGCTTTGAAGAGGATAACACTCATGGGGTTACACGTATTTATGTGATAAATATTTTGAAAACATTAAACATTTTTATGTTTGAGAATAACCACTTTTTAAGACTTAGAAAAACAAATTTCCCAAACCTATTCTAATTTCATTGGTCTAACTGTTCTTAAAAATTTCTGTCCCCCTAATTTCACGATTTATTATGCTGGAAAATAATATTAAGTAATATCCTAGAAGTTCCCTATTGCTCAATCCTTTTAGCTCCTTGACATGGACAACTATTAGGACAACTTTATTTTTAAAAAACAAACATCTTAAGTGGGAATTTTCATTGGTGGTGTACATGTTTAACTTACCTCACCATGTGATTTATAAAGGCTTTGTTACAGTTAGTGTTGTATTTGCAAAAATTACAGTGGATATATATTGAAAAGTGGCTTGCAAAATCTTTTATTTTGGAATGACACTCAATGCACTTGTGAACTCCCCGACGACACCTTGTAGAGACAGAAAAAAAAAAAAAGATGAAAATATATCATGAAACAAAAATAATAAGGTAAAGCCTTATTCACGTTTTATTAACTAAAGCTAAAATGCTTAAATTAACATCTTTAAGTAGAGACATAATTTGAAAATTTGATTTGAAACAATAAGCTAGAATAAAGTGTCAAAAATCAAACACCTGGAATAAAAAGGATCACATTTTATTCCCTGGAATAAAAAGGATCACATTAATCAATTCAACTATCACAAGATATAAGCACAAAATAGATTAGTGTAATTGATGATAATTATATAATGAACACTAATTCCAGTTCTGCTCAGCAGTTGTAAAGAGTACCTTTTTTTAATCTGCTTAGCCTTTATGCCAGACAAGTGATCAGCATGTAACCGTGCAAGGGACCTTTGTGATATGGTAAATTATATTAAAATAACCTTTAATATTTATTTATTATTTTTTTTAAATTTTTTACAAATTTTTTATTTATTTGAGACAGAGAGAATGAGAGACAGAGAGCATGAGAGGGAGGAGGGTCAGAGGGAGAAGCAGACTCCCTGCCGAGCAGGGAGCCCGATGCGGAACTCGATCCTGGGACTCTAGGATCATGACCTGAGCCGAAGGCAGTCGCTTAACCAACTGAGCCACCCAGGTGCCCCTAACCTTTAATATTTAATATTCAATTAGTATTATATATCTGGAATAAAAGATATTACCTTAAGTTCTTCAAAGCCATGCTGATTTTATTCTTTCTGTTGCGTTGTTTCTTTTGCTTGTAAGAGGTTTTAGTCTTGCATTTAGATGCACCTCTACCTCGCTTACTGGTATTAGGTTTAGTTCCATGAAGCTTACTTGTCTTAGATTTACTTGTATTAGATTTTGTGGAATTTTTAGCAGTTATACTTTTAGACTTCACAGGTGAGAGCTGAAAAGAAGAAGTGCTTGGAACACTACTACTGGGAGATGATATAACTGGTTTTGAATGAAGCGGTCCAATTGAGGCTCGAATAGTGACCTATAAAAATGAAGGCAAAATATATACATATTTTAGAAAATTAATCGTCGCATTAATATTAAAAAGTTCCCTGCATGTCTTGACATTATAGTCCATTGTTTTTTTTTTTTAAAGATTTTATTTATTTATTTGAGAGAGAGAATGAGATAGAGCGAGAGCATGAGAGGGGGGAGGGTCAGAGGGAGAAGCAGACTCCCTGCTGAGCAGGGAGCCCGATGCGGGACTCGATCCCAGGACTCCAGGATCATGACCTGAGCCGAAGGCAGTCGCTTAACCAACTGAGCCACCCAGGCGCCCAGTCCATTGGTTTTTGACAAGGATACCGAAACAACTCAGTGGAGGAAACAATAGTCTTTTCAAACAAATGGTGCCAACACAACTGGATATCTACATGCAAAAGAATGAATTTTGACCCCTATCTCATACTAGACATAAAAATGAACTCAAAATGTATCAAGGATCAAATTATAAGAGCTAAAACTACAAAACTCTTAGAAGAAAACATAGGAGGAAATCTCCATAACTTGGGGCTGGGCAATGACTCCTTAGATAAGATAGCAAAAGCACAACGATCAAAGGAAAAATAGATTAAATGGACTTCATAAAAATTTTAGACTCCTGTGTTTCAAAGGACACTGTAAGAAAGTGACAAGACAATCCACACAATGAGAGAAAGTATTTGCAAATCATATTTCTTTTTTAAAAAGATATTTTATTTATTTATTTGTCAGAGAGAGAGAGAGAGCGAGCACGCGAGAGAGTGCACAAGCAGGATGGGCAGCAGGCAGAGGGAGAAGCAGGCTCGCCACTGAGCAAGGAGCTGGATGCAGGACTCAATCCCAGGACCCTGGGATCATGACCAGCTGAAGGCAGGCACTTAACCAACCGAGCCACCCAGACATCCCGCAAGTCATATTTCTAATAAGGGACTGGTATACAGAATATATAAGGAACTGAGAGTAGACTCAGTAATATCAACTTCAACAAAGTATGGCATTCAAGGCACTATGATAGATGCTAGGGACACAAAGATAAAATAAACATGATTCTTAACCTTAGCAGCTGAAGCAGACATATATGCTGGAAAAGCTCACGAACAGCCTATACAGTATTGAAACAACTCACTGACTCAGTCTCCAGTTAATCTAGTTGCACTCACTATAAAGGAATCTGCTCCAATATACCATGTGTCAACTAACTAAAAAAAAAAAAAAAGATATTAGTTTTTCTTTCCAAACATAAGAATGACAAAACCTAAGGGATGCCTGGCTGGCTCCGTCGGTTGTGTCTGCCTTCTGCTTGGGTCATGATCCCAGGATACTGGGATCGAGTCCCGTATCAGGTTCTTTGCTCAGTGGGGAACCTGCTTGTCCCTCTGCCTGCCGCTCCCCCTGCTTGTGCTCTCTCTCTGACAAATAAATAAATAAAATCTTTAAAAAAGAATGACAAAACCTAAAATTAAATCTTAATGAGAAGCAGAAGTTAATTTTTAATATTACAGATAAAGCCAGGCAGGAATTTATTTCTATTACCACACGAAATGTTAAAATACAACATATTTAAAACTCACTTTTGTACCAGGAGGCAATCCTTCTAGCTCTTTAGGCTTTATAAAGGTCCGATGCTGGGTCTTGTGATCCAGTTTCTCTTTGCAGGTCAAAAATTGCAGTCTGCATTTTGTACAACGATGAACTCCTTTTTTCTGTTTACAAAAAACATTAAAAATACTATCAGAAATAATAACTTCTACCACTACAAATCCTGGGACCTGAAGTTGCTCTTAATTGTAATTGCTAAATAATTTTTAAAAACCAGTATTTTACCATATCCCATCATAAATAATGCCAAAATGTTATTTCATTTTTAAAAACACCGCTTGCATTAGTATTTGAGTTTCAAAAGTATTTGTGGGGTGCCTGGATGGCTCAGTCGGTAGAGCATACAGTAACTCTTGATCTCAGGTTTTTAAGTTGGAGTCCCACATCAGGTGTAGAGATTACCTAAAAAAAAAAATCTTAAAAAAAAAAAAGTATTTGTTACCATATAGGCAATCAAAATGAAAATTATATCAGTTAGTTTAAAATGTGATGAGTCCTATACCTTTGTAGTGTGAAAGTTTTAATTATAAATTTGAAGTATAAACCATTCAAGCACACGATACCGTGAAAATGAGTTAATTTTTAATCCTAGAAAAGACCAAGTTATTTTTAGTTTTTAAAATTTGTTTCATAAAAAACTGAAATTCCTACCGCCAAACAAATTTCATTAATTTAGATTTAAATAGACACAGGTGGCTAGTGGGTGTGCTATTGGACAGCATGGGTGTAGAAGCACAAATCATAACAACGGATCCCAAACTACTGTCAGAGAACCCCTTGACTAGGTCCCTTCTCAAACTCAGGCCTATTATTATTTTATCAATGGGAATTAGGACCCAAGAGAGATCTAAGTCATTTGCTCACAGCTAGTTGGTCTTCTAGTATATATTATCAACTGCAATCTTTATGTATACGCTCTCACTAATTAAAAAATACAATTTATATTTATATGTAAATTTAGAACATACAAATGCAAAAGAATGTTTTCTCCAAAGCTATATCTCCACAGGCCCGTCACTATTTCCATGTAAAGCACAACTAATCACTTAGGAAAAGCAAATGAGTTAACATAAACGAAAGTAACTAGCAGTTACTGGTGCACAGCAGGCATTTGATAAATATAAAGTTCTTTAAAAATTTCAAAGCAGGGGCGCGTGGGTGGCTCAGTCGGTTAAGCGTCTGCCTTCGGCTCAGGTCATGATCCCAGGGTCCTGGGATCGAGTCCCGCATCGGGCTCCCTGCTCAGCAGGGAGTCTGCTTCTCCCTCTCCCTGCCGCTCCCCCTGCTTGTGCGCGCTCTCTCTCTCTTGTCAAATAAATAAAATCTTTTTAAAAATCTCAAGGCAATATAGAAATATGTTTGTATATTACTGTTTTAGTTTCATTTTTAAGACAATTTGAGAAGTATGGTGCATCAGATCGTCTCACAGGTACAGGCAATGTATAAACAGATTCACCTAATATGTGCTCGAGAGAGAGAAGGAAAAGAGGGAAAAAGATCTCAATCAAGAAAGAGACAGCAATATAACAGGACAGATAGAAAATTCCCCAGAGTACAGTTCCCAGAGGTCTCTTCTCTGCCTGTACCTATATCTCATCCAGTTTCATGATTTTTTTTTTTTAAAGATTTTATTTATTTATTCATGAGAGACAGAGAGAGAGAGAGAGAGAGAGAGAGGCAGAGGGAGAAGCAGGCTCCCAAGGAGCAGGAAGCCCGATGCGGGACTCGATCCCAGGACCCTGAGATCATGACCTGAGCCGAAGGCAGACGCTTAACCATCTGAGCCACCCAGGCGCCCCAGTTTCATGATTTTAAATAGTATCCATCCAATTGCCTACTCGACATCACTACTTGATATCTAATAGGCATTTCAAATCAACATGGACAAAACTGAACTCTAGATTTCCCCCCATATACCCTGCAAAGAAAAAAAAAATCTGTTCCTTGCCTAGTCTTCCCAATATCTCAATATAAGCGAACACCATTCTTGGCAGTGGCTCAGGACAAAAGAACTCGGTAACTCTTAACTCGTCTTTCTCTCACACCCCACATCCACCAACCCATTAATAAAACCTGTCAGCTCTACCTTCAGGAACAATCTTTCCACTTTTTTCATCTGTTCAGCCACCATATCAGTCCAAGCCACTCACCTGGACTCTGACAGTCGCCTCCTGCCTTCTTGTTTCCACTCTTTCCTCCTAACAGTCTCTTCTCTCCACAGCTGCCCGAGTCATCTCTCACATGCTTAAAGCCTCCAGTGGCTTTCCATACATACCAAAACCCTAACTCTGGCTCACAAGACCCTACAGCATCTGCTCTGCACTCTATTGGTACAATCTCCTTTCCTACCACCACTCTTCCTCCCACTTGTTTACCATGCTCCGGCCACACTGGCCTTGCTGCTCCTTGAACATCTACATATATGCTCAACTCACTGCCTACTTACTGTACCCTGTCCTTGGAATGTTCTCTCCCAGATATCCACACAGCTAACCCGCTTATTTTCTCTGGAGAGGCTCTCTTTGACCAACCCCCTCCCCCCCCCACCATATATAAAACAGAAAGGGCTCCTCACCTCCTAAGTCCTGGCACTCCCAACACTCACATGCTTTCTTCCCACGGTATTTTTTTTTTTTTAAAGATTTTATTTATTTATTTGAGACAGAGAGAGAGAATGAGAGAGAGAGCACATGAGAGGGGGGAGGGTCAGAGGGAGAAGCAGACTCCCTGTCGAGCAGGGAGCCCGACGCGGGACTCGATCCAGGGACTCCAGGATCATGACCTGAGCCGAAGGCAGTCGCTTAACCAACTGAGCCACCCAGGCGCCCCTTCCCACGGTATTTATCACCAGCTGGCACACACATACATTCAGACATAATACACATACTTTTTCCACTACAATGCAAATTCCAGAGAGCACAAACTTTGCTTTGTTCACTTCTGTAAAACAGTCCCTGGCATATATTAAGCACTCAATAAATATTTGTTAAATAAATAGTGAGGAAGACAGCAAGAGATTGACAGAGTGTGCACATGAGAAGCAGGCACAATTTAACTAATTCAAAATGTCTGCCATTTCATTCAATGAGCATTTACCCAAAGCCCTGGGTTGAGAGACATTCATCTACTATTCCCTTAGTTGGACTCAAGTCTTGCATCTCTCTCTTATGCATGTATGCTTGAGATGTGGTAAGAAGGATAATACAGTACATCTTAAATAATAAGACATTCAACCAAAAAATTGGTGATCAGTTCCAAGGATAGAGAATAACCTGTCCGGGTTGAACGTTTTGACAAACATACTGTATTGTCTGGGTGATTTGAGGAATTTTCAAGGCTAATTCTGACTATCTGTAATATCTGCTTTGAGACAGTGTCAGTAAAGGATATGACTCTATGATAAAACCTTGGGCTTTAAGTCTATTTTTGGCTCTACCGTTTATTAGAGAATATGATATTGGGCAAGTAACTTATTCTCTATAAAGCTTTGTTTCCTTATCAATGATCAGATACCTGTTTTGTAGGGTGGTCGAGAAGACTAAACAAAATAATGCAAGTAAAAACACTGTGACTGTCATATGGCAAGTGATTAGTATATATTAACTACTTGTGATTTTTATAAAGATCTAATAAGAATATTTAACATATCTAAAATCCCTCATCCTTTCTTAAAAATTGTGTGAACTGTATTTGTTAGCTCTAAAATCACTTAGGACATGATAATATGTTTTTTTTTTAAAGATTTTATTTATTTATTTGACAGAGAGAGAGAGAGAGAGAGAGAGAACACAAGCAGGGGGAGTGGGAGAGGGAGAAGCAGGCTTCCCGCCGAGCAGGGAGCCCGATGTGGGGCTCGATCCCAGGACCCCGGGATCATGACCTGAGCCGAAGGCAGACGCTTAACGACGGAGCCACCCAGGCGCCCCGATAATATGTTCTTTTTAGGAAAAGGTTACAACTAAAGTCTTTAAAAAGAATAAAATGAGCCATATATTCAGTAATTCCTAATATCTAAAATCACACCTATATTACCTCAATTACAAGTATAGTCCTGCTCAGTTATGGTTTTTGAGTCTTTTGTGAACAATTGTGTAAATTGCAAGTGCTTTCAAAAATGCCTGATGATCCTTCTGATTAACAGAGTCTTTCATCTGTTGACTGCTGACTGCCTACCTCTCAGGTACTCCGAAGTCACAAAAACTGGGCACCAATGGTGTGTCAGTAGTCCTCAAGACCCCTCCCAGGTTTGATGATGCAGTAGAACTTACAGGACTTAGAAGTTGTTATACTCATAGATATGGTGTATTATAGTGAAAGGATACAGAGCAGGATTAATAAAGGAAAAAAGTGCATTGGGTGGAGTCTGGAGGATACTGGCAACAGCTTCCAAGCGCCCTCTCCCAATGGAGTTGCAGAGGACACGCCTCAATCAATCCCCCAGCAACTAACTGCAGCAACATGTATGAAGTGCTTTTTACCAGGAAAGCTCTCTTGAGTCTAAGAGGCCAGGTTTTTTGTTTTTTTTTTTTAAAGGGTTCAGTTACCAAATCTTCAGTCTTCCAGAAGAAAAGCAGGTGCTCACCATAATCATACTTTTTGTACAAATGATCTAGAAAAGCTGGTACAATATGGCTTAAGGTTCCAGGCATGCAAAACACTCATCAATTAATAACAAAGCCTCCATTTCCAGGAGTTAGCCAAGGGCCAATTATGCAAGTATGCAAGTAGACCCTTGTGAAAATGTACACGATTTGAAGAACTCAGACCTGCTGGGTTAACTCTTTCCTATACACACGGCAAGTTAAACATACAATTTAGGGTATGAAGAGTGACTACAGATCAGGTAAACCACTTAAGAGACACAGTCCCCATACCAAGTCCATCCATCTCTTTCTTACCTTTCTAAGGATACTATTACTCTCCTTACATCTATATCTCACTCTGGAGCTTAGGAAAGCATGGCAGAAAGCACTATGTTAAAAGCTTCATAATGAAATAGAGCTACTGTTTTACATCTCATCCTTCCTTTCAAAATCAAAGGTCAGGGGCGCCTGAGTGGCTTAGTCGTTAAGCGTCTGCCTTCGGCTCAGGTCATGATCCCAGGGACCTGCAATCGGGCTCCCTGCTCGGCGGGAAGCCTGCTTCTCCCTCTCCCACTCCCCCTGCTTGTGTTCCCTCTCTCGCTGTGTCTCTCTCTATCAAATAAATAAATAAAATATTTAAAAAAAACAAAATCAAAGGTCAAAAGATGGAATAGAGAACCAAGACCAGCGTTTTCCGAACTATTTCTCAAGAAATGTTAATAGGTATTGTGCAAATAAATGGTTAAATAAGTCTTGGAAACAATATGTACAATATCCCTTCCTTGGAGATTTATGAGCTTTTCCAGCATTTTAAAAGCTCTAATCTTAAAAATAAAAAACTGTTAATTTTATAAATCTAGCCATTTACTGAATTTGTTTTTCCAGGAGCAATTTTAGAGTGGAACATTTATTAACATCTGATGGAAAACTGTTGGGGAAACTCTAGAATAGAAAGATTTTTGCCAGAGGTTCTTAACGGTAATATGCCATACCAGCATGTTGGAACCATCCCATTCATAACATAGGTGATCCTGAATGTACTCGGATAGTCTACTTTTGTAATTTTTTTTTTCAATTAACAACTACAAGTTGATTTCATGATCATCTAATGACTGGAACTGAAAACAATGTTAGCACCAGTGCTGAGTAAATTGGCCATGGCAATGCAATCAATAATAAGAAAATGTAATGAGCTGATCAGTGAGGAGACAAAACTTGATTACATAATCACATTAAGTAAACTCACTGACTTCTCATTTTGGCAAAGGTACCGTTGCTCTTTCAAACACTCAAGAATAGGCTTACGGTTTCATCGAAGTTTTCAGCCTAACTAAAGGATGGTCTAATTGTGTCAGTAGAAGACCCAGCAAGAATAAAATGAGAATTCAAGAGAAAGGTACAAGCACTAATACTGGTATCCCAGAAATTACATAGCAGAACTGGCAAAAGTCATCCAGGAAACAAGTTATAACCTAAATATAGTTCTCTGGCATAGTTCACATATCTAGAAATAAGTGTCATTGCTATTTCCTTTGTCACTGGCTGCTACAAAAGACCATTCTGGGTTGCTAATGACAACCACATGTCTTTTCATAATGAAAAGTAAGCTAGAAAGTAGAAACGAAGTTTGAAGGAGGAAAAAAGATTGAGTCCTCAATCTTATTCCCCAGTTCAAACATATCCTTTTCCCTACTCTCGATTAACTACCTTCAAAATCCTTTCCCTTTTCACCACTCTTAGACACCTGAAATATTCAACTGAAATATTTCACCCATCTTCCCTTTTCCCTTCCACTCTAGGGTTCCTATTTCTACCTTTGTTTCCGTATTTTCACTAGTCAAGAGCCTCATCACCACTAGGAAGCAGACAAAGAAAAGAAGTGGAAGTTTCAAAAGTCATTCAGCATAAATTGTAAATTAATTGTGTCATTTGGAACCACTTAACTTTCCTTTTAGAACAAATCTAACAAATGCTCAAAGTTTTATATATCTACCTTTTTACTAAGACAAAATGAGCAAATAACTGCTAAATCTCACCTGATGCTTCATGTAATGATTCATGTAGGGAGTTGCCATTCTACTAACTTTGAGGCAAAATGGACATAGCAAGTTCTTAGTGTTTTCATGGGATGTTCTAAAGTGACTTTCTACATCAGAAAATGTTGATGATCTAAACTGGCACACCTAGAAATATAAAGAAGGTTTAGTTTAACTTGAAAGTTTATACCTGATACGCAATTACATCAAAGTAGCAATGAGGAGTCACTTGTTTAGAGGAATATTACGCACTGCTAATTCAGCTCTCTTGCCTATACAACCAAGAATTCTAGCACTGAAAATAATAAGTATAATCTTCGAAACAGAAAAGTTATCTTTCAAAGTTTAGGGATATATTCCTAAATATAACCAGATTTTCTTCTTCTCAGATCTACTACCCTCCCTACCTTGCTTGAATTTTTAAACTCTGACATCTCTTGTCCTAGAAAGTTTGTCCTGCTGTATAAAATAGAATATTCTTTTCTTTGGATTTTAAATAGCATCCAGGCTATGACAGAGGAAATTTTTCTTATCTCGCTATCTTATTGGGAACCACTTCAAATTCTGGAAAAATACTAGTCCCAAAGCATTTAGTTGAGTTCCCCGTAACTAATAGCATTTCCTATTTCTCTGTCATGGCTATATTCTTCTCTACATGGTAAGAAAATCCATATATTTGTCTTCTCCAGCAGGGCATTTTGTCTGTCTAGGAGAGGGGTCAGTAAACTGCAGCCTCCAGTCCGAGTCCAAGCCACCATCTCCACATACAAGAGTTATGTCAAGGGAGTTTCCACTATTGAAGAGGGTCTTCAATTTCAGTAATCCATTTTATTCTAACGGTTAAAAAGAGCGATAGAATACTACTATTTTGTGGCACATGAAAATAAAACAAACACCTAAGTACATCGTAAAATGAATGTGTACCTGGCAAATATATGGCATTTCACCGGGTTTATGAGTGTCCTTCATATGTTGCAAAAGAGCATGTTCTGTTTCAAATGATAATTCACAGATTTTACAAATAGCTGAAAGTGGAAAAAAACACATTACACCATTTTATGGATGTATCTAAACAAAAGATTCATTTTGTACATCCACAACAACAGCAATAAGTAGTAACAGTCATCGTGGTGGTGGCTCCCAACAGCTCTATGGTTGTTAACTCCGCAATGTTGTTCCACGGGCTTCACTTATATCGGCTTACTTCTCATGCCATCACTGACAGAGTACTGCTATCTTACCCCCATTGGTCAGAGGAGGAACCTGAGGCACAGAAAGATTAAGGACCTTGCCTGAGATCTCGCAACCGTATTAAGATACAGAACTGCAACTTAAATCCTAGCTAGCCCCGGACTCCGTGATTCTTAACTATCACTGCAGTTACTTTTCTTATGAGAGCGTGAATCAAGACCACTGATTTCATACTTGCAAACCAGAGAATCTGATTTTCTAACTTAGCCCCCTACATACAATGAATGCGTGAGTCATGCAAAAGGAAGTTTCCGTGTACAAGAAGGACTTCAGTTTTTGCAAGCAATTCTACTGGAAAGTTTGTACAAGTTGAAATCTGTTTTTCAACTGTGCCCCCAAACCCAAAGTCTATTTCTTATTTTTAGGTTATCAGAATTCTTGAGGCTTCCTCAGAGTTTAGATGACCACAATCATGACTGTTCGAGACTCCCATAAAATTGTGACTTACTGGAAAACTCATGGGGAGTGTGTGTACTCTCAATGTGACACTGCAGCTGGAACGGGGTGGGATACTGACGGTAGCAGTGCTGGCAGGTGGTGTGGTTTTCCCAGCTCTCACTGTTCTGCTTCTCAAGTTCCAAATGGTGCTTCATGTGGTTCATAAACCTGTAAGTGATCGTCAACAGGTGCAAATTTCAGATTTATAGCCAAGAGAAAAAAACCTCTCAAATAAGGATTTGAAGCTAAACGGTAAAAATGCAGTTGTAGTACTCAAAATCTCTCCAAAGCTTGAAAGTCCTCCAGAAAAGTATGCACTTTAAATAATCACACTTGTTTGTTTGTCAGTCAGACGGGGAGAGCAGAGGTAGAGCAAGCCCGATGGCGGACTCGATCCCAGGACCCTGGGATGACGACCTGAGCTGCAAGCAGACGCTTAACCGACTGAGCCCCCCAGGTGTCCCAATGATCTCTCTCATTAAGTGGCTCAGTAAACATTTTTCTTTGCATCTTTGTTTTAAAATAATCCATTAATATAGTTCATATGAAATACCACTAATTTGCTAGAACTCTTCATCATTATTTCAGATTTAAAAAATTTTGTAAAGAACAACAGGCTGCAGGGGCGCCTGGGTGGCTCAGTCGTTAAGCGTCTGCCTTCGGCTCAGGTCATGATCCCAGAGTCCTGGGATCGAGCCCTGTGTTGGGCTCTCTGCTCAGCGGAAAGCCTGCTTCTCCCTCTCCCACTCCCCCTGCTTGTGTTCCCTCTCTCGCTGCGTCTCTCTCTGTCAAATAAATAAATAAAATCTTTTTTTTAAAAAAAAGAACGGGCTTCTTTTCCATACATGAAGTACTATTTACATTTGAAAATAAAATCCTTAAGGAAAGAAAACCCTATTACCAAAAGCAGCTACAGAGTCCCGAGAGAAATCTTTTAAAGGCCTTAAAGATATACAATAGGTTGTCAGCTGCTTAATGGCAAATTAGTGTTTTAATTTGTGGTTTGGTTTCTAAATGCATGTACTAGCAATCTTAATACCTATAATTACAAGAACTTTTTGTTTTATTTAATGATGCTGGTTTACTGTGAGCACAAACACTTCATTTTTCACAGACTGTGCCCTCTGAAACACAGTCCATTTTTTAGCTCTACATTCCGCTGTCAGATTCCATAATAGGTTTCCTATGAGAAGGAACTGTGACCTTCAGTGGCAGAGAGTACAATATAAAAAGGCAGATCTATTTCATAGGGCTTATTAAAACTTTTTAAATTTCAAAGTAAAGTTATTCAATCAAATTAACTTTAATACTGAGTCAAATATTAAGTTATTCATTATGAGTCCCAAAAGGATATAATCCTGAAGTGATTATGTCTTTAACCTAGATAGCAATTGTAATATGCAGGCTTTAACATTTATCTTTTCACATCTCCTGCTGGTGGTACACTTTGAAATATCTTTTATCCTCCTTTAATTTTTTTAAGTAGGCTCCACACACAACGTGAGGCTTGAACTCATGACCCTGAGATCAAGAGTCACATGCTCTGCCAATGGAACCAGCCAGGTACCCCCTCCTCCTTTAATTTTAACATCATCTCTATTAAAATCTGTTTTAAAAAAAATCCTAGTTTTGCCAAAATATTTACATATAAAGGTCATGAGCCATTAACCTTTCAGCTCATAACTTTAATACATAAAATCTATCTGTATAAAGTGATCTGTTAACTAGCTAGCTAGCTCTCAATTATTACACTGCCCCATCAGCAGTGCACGTTTCTCAAACCAGCAGATGGAGATGTGGGAAAAAGCAACCCCCTCACAAAGCTATTCTCAGAATAAAATAGCCCTAACTGGTTTTAGTGACACTTAATGTAGGAAAGAATAATCCTACAATATCTTGACAGGGCAGAGAGTAGAAATCTTGAACTATTAGCTTCTATCATCCTCTAAAACCATCAATTTGCCATCCTAGATTTTACCATTAGGTAAAATGTTATTTAACACATATTAACCTCTTTGGTTACCTACTGTCTACTGGTCAGGTTTTATTTACTCAACCATATGTCAAAAATGCTACAAAATTTCTAAATGTTGGGGTGCCTGGGTGGCTCAGTCGTTAATCGTCTGCCTTTGTCATGATCTCAGGGTCCTGGGATCGAGTCCCACATCGGGCTCCCTGCTCGGCGGGGAGCCTGCTTCTCCCCCTCCCTCTGCCTGCAGCTCCCCCTGCTTGCTCTCTCTCTCTCTGACAAATAAAGTATTTTTTTTTTAAAGATTTTATTTATTTATTTGACAGAGAGAGACACAGCGAGAGAGGGAACACAAGCAGGGGGAGTGGGAGAGGGAGAAGCAGGCTTCCCGCGGAGCAGGGAGCCCGATGCGGGGCTCGATCCCAGGACCCTGGGATCATGACCTAAGCCGAAGGCAGTTGCTTAACGACTGAGCCACCCAGGCACCCCTGACAAATAAAGTCTTAAAAAATTTTTTTCTAAATGTTATAAAATATGGTTAGCTTAAAATTTCTAGATATTCTGATAATCTGTAACCAGTCTTTTGGAAGGAAAACAAAAAAAAAGGAAATTTCATGTTTAAGAGTAAATGGACTAACTTGTTGAAAGAACTTCTAATATCATACGCCCAACATTTAAGTATAATAAGGAACTTAAACAGGGACCCACTTTTCTGTGTATTTCACCAAATTTACTAATTTTATTTTCTGATATATTTTACTGTAAAAAGGTAAAGATATGGAAGCAGGTCACAGAGTTATATTGTGACATTATTTCAGTGTTATATCTCAAAGCACAATTCTCTTCTGTTAAGCTACTGGGCCATTAGCAACTGATGGCCGTTAGGGCTTGATAAAAGGAGGTAAGGAGGTATGAAAACTCATATATGTGAAAGGTCTATGAATACTACAAGAAGCTACCACAAATGTAGCATGCATAATTGTTTCAGGTTTATCTTGCAGTGCATTTTAGGGTTTTTCTATGTACTTCATTTTGGACTCAAGGATTCATCAGACAATAAAAATAAATGCTAGGCTTAGAAATGACCTACAGGACACTTAAGAATGCTAGTTAAAAAAGACAGCCATCAGGGTAAATATCTTTAAAAGCTTACATATACACGTGTGTATGTGTGTGGACCACAACATACATACATATGACTATCTCATCTAAGGGAAGTGCACTGATGTCTACAATTTACTCTGAAATGTAAAATAAATCAGATAGAGTCTATGGATGAACAGGTATGCGGTAACACAAGTGAGGTAAAATGTTAATGGTAGAATCAAGGTGGTAAATATACAGATGTTCACCGTAAATTTTTTTCAACTTTGCTGAATATCTGAAACTTTTTATAATAAAATGTTGAAAAGACAATGTCAGATTACATAGCCAATGCAAAATACCAATCAGCTTATCTTGTTACGTTGCTTTGGTTACTATCTTACTTAGGATTGTAGATATGTAATATGCCATATTACTCCAAGACTGCGAAGTATAAGTTCCTAACATTTAAAACATACATGTGTAAGTCTTCAAAACCTTCAAAATTGAAAATTAAATCTCTACTTTTAAAATGTGTTAAATTATAAACTCAAAGCAGACATGTTTCATAAACTGGCACTTCTCTAAAGATCATCAAAAATGTCACTTTCTCTGCAAGGTTAATGTGGTAAAAATGATAAAATGAATTGAAAAACTAGAACATTAAATAAGACTAATATGGAAGAGGTCAAACTGGATAAAGCACTTCTTGTGATAGGAAAAGTAGATTCAAAAGAAGCTAAATAGTAAAAATATCACACTGAAAATTCTGAATTCAATGGTTATATAGATAAGTGATTTTTCTCTAAGTTAAAATAAATTTCGCCCTTTCTAAAGCTGTATTAAATACAAATCAAGTGTTAAACTCCTAAAATACAATAAAAAACAAATGCTTTGACATGATAATCTGCCTTTATTCTTAGAAAGTGTTTAAATTGCTTATCTAGGATAGCACAGGAAAATAAAGATACAATATTTACATCAGTTGCATCCCAGTTTTCAGATGGAAAGAGAAATAAGTATTTACATACCTAATATTGTTTTTAAGAACTTTCAAGCAACTGAAGCATTTAAAGGTTGTGTAAGTCTTCTGTTCATCATCAACAGCTCCTTCATGTCTTCCATAGTAAAAGTCACTAACTAACATGATCAATTTTCCTTTCTCTGCACCAGTCTTTTTATTTTCAGTAATCGCAAGTTCTGCTTTAATCATTTCCAAAAATTTGTTTACCATGTCTGGACAACAACGCTGAAAGAGAAAAAAATATATGTAAGTTTTACTTAATCTCTTTAAAAAATTAGATAGAAAAAAATTGATTCTGTGTTTATAACTAGGGCCAGCTTATGTAAAACTATGCTTGGCAATATATCTGGAAAGAGTCACCAAAATGTTGGCTTCTTTCTTTATAGAGTCTAAAAAAATTCAAACAATAAACACCTCTTACCTTAATAAAGAAATAACTTCAAAAACAAATTAAAAACCTGAGGCCAGGGATGGCTAAATATCTAACACCATTTTCCTTGTAATTCCAATTTTCAGATGTAAATATTTTTTTTAAAGATTTAAAAAAAATTTTTTTTGACAGAGAGCGAGACAGCGAGAAAGGGAACACAAGCAGGGGGAGTGGGAGAGGGAGAAGCAGCTTCCCGCTGAGCAGGGAGCCCGACACGGGGCTCGATCCCAGGACCCTGGGATCATGACCTGAGCCGAAGGCAGACACTTAACGACTGAGCCACCCAGGCACCCCTCAGACATAAATATTTAATAATAATTTGATCCCTGGCCAAAAATCGTTCATATCTGTCAGGATATAGCTTAAAATGAAAGGTAGTTTTATTTTATTTTTTCTTAAAGATTTTATTTATTTGACAGAGAGGGAGAAAGCACAAGTGGGGGGAGCTACAAGCAGAGGGAGAAGGAGAAGCAGGCTTCCCACTGAGCAAGGAGCCCAATGCGGAGCTCGATCCCAGGACCCTAGGATCACGACCTGAGTCGAAAAGAGACGCTTAATCGACTGAGCCACCCAAGTGCCCTGGAAAGGAAGTTTTATATGCCATTCTGCACATGCTAAATTATCCAATAATATAGTAGTATTTTGGTAAAGCCTGGTTGGAACTAGACGCTGAGCACAGGTAACCTGCCATTCCCCAGATTCAAGGTACTGGAAAACGTATGGGACACAAAAAAAGAAGCATAAGTTATAATTTAAAAACCTCAACACAGTCTATCTAGAATGCTGAAATATGTTAAGGGGAAATCAATCTCATGAATAAAATTAAGACCTCATATAAACTGACCCTAATAGGGAATACTTTTTCTTTTTTAAAGATTTTATTTATTTATTTGACAGACACAGACACAGCAAGAGAGGGAACACAAGCAGGGGGAGTGGGAGAGGGAGAAGCAGGTTTCCCGCCGAGCAGGGAGCCTGATGCGGGGCTCGACCCTGGGAACCCCAGGATCATGACCTGAGCTGAAGGCAGACGCTTAACGACTGAGCCACCCGGCGCCCCTGGAATACTTTCATACGTTAACTTTTAATTTTCAATGAGATAAAACTAGTTCATTTATTATATACAATTTTCAGTTGTGGAATTTCACTAGAAGAATTCTTTAAGAGTAACTAGGGAGCAAAAATACAAACTTTTCTAAAAACCCAAATTACATACTCGCAAAGCAACCACAAAGGGAAAAACTTAGAAAAATAAAGAACAAAAAATTGTGACAGAATCAAGACCAATCAAACCTATCAGATCAATTAAATCCATCCTATCAATGAATACAGATGGGTGGGTTTAACTCAGCTACTGAAAAAATAAATTTCACATAGGATCACAAAAGAAAAAATGACTCTGTGAAAATTAAGAAATATACCAAAAACAAAGTGATTGGAAGGCTTGAGGGGCGCCTGGGTGGCTCAGTCTTTAAGCGTCTGCCTTCGGCTCAGGTCATGATCCCAGGATCCTGGGATTGAGACCCACATCGGGCTCCCTCTCCACGGGAAGCCTGCTTCTCCCTCTCCCACTTCCCTGCTTGTGTTCCCTCTCTTGCTGTGTCTCTTTCTGTCAAATAAATAAAATCTTAAAAAAAAATAAAAAGATAAACAAAGAATATAACAGGCAAATGGTAATAATGAGAAAACAAGGGTTGTGAAATTGATGTCAAACAAAATAGAATCCAGGCCAAAAAGGGAACACTTAATAAAAATGCTAAAGGATACATTCACAATGAAGTTAAAAGAGATAGATCCATCTATATCCTAAATAGTAACAGCCATAAAACAGAATTGTAAGATATCAAAGAAAATAGTGATAATTTGAGACTTTGAGACCTACTCAAAAAATGACAGAGCAAATAGATGAATATAAATGAAGACACAGGAACCTCAATAACATTATTAGTATGTTAGATCTGACTGATAACTATCAAATTCCATACTCCAAAAACAAATTAACACCCCTTATTTTCAAGTTTCTATGTAACATTCAAGAAAACAGCACATACAAATTTCAAAATGGGGAGAAAAGGAACCTGGGCATTGCCAGCAAAGAGACTGAGGTTTGAATCTCAGCTATGCCAATTAATTGGCTATAAAACAATGAGAAAAAGATCTGGCCTAAAGAATTTTCTAAGGATTAAATGAAATAATACTTTAAAGCTTAGTATGGTGTCTTAGATCAATAGGATGTTTGACTTACACTCCCAAAATTCTTCCTCTGGAAGAAAAGATTACCTTTGTGGTATACCAATCTCCTTACCTATAACAACAGCAAAAGATCATTCACAAATAATCTAAAATTCACATTTTTTTCAAAATGGAAATCCTTACTGTAATATTATATAAATTTAACTGATATATAAAAATGCATAAGCGGAATGCCTGGGTGGCTCAGTCGGTTGGGCATCTGCCTTTGGTTCAGGTCATGGTCCCAGGGTCCTGGGATTGAGTCCCACATTGGGCTCCTTGCTCAGTGGGGAGCCTACTTCTCCCTCTCCCTCTGCTGCTCCCCTGCTTGTGCTCTCTCTCTCTCTCTCAGAGACAAATAAATACAAAATCTTTAAAAAAAAAATGCATAAGCTAACATGTGAAAGTCTCACTTATTTTTTTAATGACTAACAATGCTATAATAAATAAAAGCTACATTTTAGAGAATGCTTGCCACTTTCTTCAGGTGCAGAAATATATATAATGTGCTATGATTTGTGTATAAAATAGAGGGAAAATAAGACATTCATGTGTGCCTGTACATTCAGAAATTAAAGTCAAAGAAGACATAAAACAAATTAATAAAAAATGATTTCTTTTGCAAGTCCTATTGGGAACTAAGCAAATAGATGAAGTGGGATTCTTCACTGTATACCTTCTTTTTTATTTAAAATTTTTACTTTATTTTTTAAATTTTATTTTGTTATGTTAATCACCATATATTACATCATTAGTTTTTGATGTAGTGTTCCATGATTCATTGTTTGCGTATAACACCCAGTTATACGTGCCCTCTTTAATACCCATCACCAGGCTAGCCCATCCCCCCACCCCCCCCCCCCTCTAGAACCCTCAGTTTGTTTCTCAGAGTCCATAGTCTCTCATGGTTTGTCTCCCCCTCCGATTCCCCGCCTTCATTTTTCCCTTCCTACTATCGTCTTTTTTTTTTTTTTTTTAAACATATAATGTATTATTTGTTTCAGAGGTACGGGTCTGTGATTCATCAGTCTATGCATCTATGATGCAAAACATAAAACATCAAGTATTTCTATACAATATTACATATTACATAGATTGGAAGATTGAAAACACTGGCAGAAGTTAATTTTTATATAAAACCAAAACCCAAAGTCCAGTTCACAGGAATCACCCTCAGGGAGGTAGAAATAGTGATAGATCAAATACAGTTTTGTCCAAGAATAAAGAAATTGTGTTTGGAATTTTACACTTCTTTTCTTTCTACATTTTTTGTAAAATGCTGAATTGCAATGAAAAAATTGCCGATCTTTGAAATAGCAAGCAATAACTTTTTCTAAGTTGCTTCTCTGCTTTGCAGTCTTCTCACCCCCTCTTTCCTGAATATAATCTACATTGCGTTTTTTCCTGCCTCCTTTCTCCCTTCTTGCCATTTATACTGGGCATGCAAGAAGAATACAGATTATCTTTCCACAGACACACAGAACACTGCAATATCTATTAAAATATCTTAAGTGGAATAATACCTAGACCTCATACTTCATTAGTACTTCTAAAATTACCTAAAACCTAATTTTAAGAGCTTCCTACACCAACGTAAAGGTAGAATTTATAACAACTATACAAACTATATTCTGGATTGAGTTAACACTGTGATTTCTTGAGAAATGCTCCACTATTATGAGTTTATGTCTGAGTGCTGAACATTAAAATGCAAGACTGAGATTTTGAGTAATGTGACATTCATATGTCACCAGACAAAAAAATCATGTTAAAAAAAGGAGTTTTTAAGTTATAGGAAAGATTAAGCACAAAACAAAATGCCTGCTTTACAAGAGCTTTGAAGAATAGCGTGATCTAGTCAATAAAATATTCTGATTAATACATTATTGTCATTAAAAGTTAAAATACAACATGCATAGAATTTTTTTTTTTTTTAAGTAGGCTCCACGCCCGGCGTGGAGCCCAATGCAGGGCTCAAATGCACCACTGTGAGATCAAGACCTGAGCAGAGATCAAGAGTCAGACACTTAACTGACTGACCCACCCAAGTGCCCTACAATATGCACAGAGATTCAAGTGTCACGTGTGAGTGCCATCCACCTGGGGACCCTACCCGACAAAGGCTGCAGCCCCTGCATGACTCGGTGGCTGTGGTACGTGGGACTCACTTAGCTGGGAACCGTGCGGGATTGAATAAAGCAATGCGATTAGAGGCCACCCCAGAGAGGGAGCGGATTCCCCCACCCCTGAACCATTTTTGCTGGTTGCGGCAAAGGATTTTCCAAATGAGATTTGCCACAGACATCTGCTCTACAAGTGGCAAAATGTCAGAAATGAAGAGAAAGAAATGTTAAAGATCCGAGAAATAAATGACTCACCTGGGAAAGCTCTAATACCCGCAAACACTCAGGGCTGTCACTAAGAGAAACATCGGACTTTCTGCAAAGTCTTCCAGATATAATACTTTAAAGAGGTCGGAGGTAGGTCTATTTCTTCCATTTCTTAAAGTACTACATACTGTGTTTAATGTATTCTCTCAAGCCTCAGAGAGATCAATGACAGTCACATCTCTTAGACAAAGCAACAACTAAAGCTTTGATCTAGCATCATTAGTTTTAAAGCAACTCCCACACATTGTCACTTTCACCTTACTTCAGCATCCAGCTCCAGAAAACAGATATTTTTACCAATAATTTTATGGTTGATAAAGCCATTATCACATCTAATAAAATTATCAAGGATTACTTCGTATCCTCTAATATCCCCCCCAAAATACAATATGCATATACGATAGTACATATAAGCTTAATTTTTAAGATTTCATGATTGGGAAAGATTTTAAAATCTTGTATAAAGATAATCACTATGGGGTGCCTGGGTGGCTCAGTCAGTTAAGCAGCTGCCTTCGGCTCAGGTCATGATCCCAGGGTCCTGGGATCAAGCCCCACATTGGGCCCCCTGCGCTGCGGGAAGCCTGCTTCTCCCTCTCCCACTCCCCCCTGCTTGTGTTCCCTCTCTCGCTGTGTCTCTCTCTGTCAAATAAATAAATAAAATATTTTTTTAAATTTTATTTTATTATGTTATGTTAGTCACCATACATTACATCATTAGCTTTTGATGTAGTGTTCCATGATTATTTGCATATAACACCCAGTGCTCCATTCAATACATGCCCTCCTTAAATAAAATCTAAAAAAAAAGATAGTCATCACAAATATCAATTTTTACTTAAGTTATATAGAAATACCAATGAGAAGATTTCTTATCTAAATACCTGGACAAACGAGCATTTACTATATATCAATCCTTAATGTTTTCAGAGATTTGTCAATATTTTTAAAAATCAAATTTTGGAAAAAGTTTTACCTTCATGTGATATTTCAAAGGATCCAGAAGATTAAACTTTACATTGCACTTTGGACAAGATCTTAGAAAAGGTGTTCCAGTTTTATAGTGAGCTGATGAGGTATTTGTACCTAAAATAGATTAAGAACTTTTACGACTCAAATTCTTTTTTAAACATTAAACAACCAGTAAAAAAAAAAGTTTAAAAATTCATCAGAATTTCTAGAATTTATGTATAAATAATACAATTTCTATTTTATATGCTAGATTCATATTTACCTTTTGATATCATAACATGGGAAGATGTCACTGGAGGAGAGTTAGTTAGAGACAGTGAAGCACAAGGACTTATTTCAGAAACACTTTCGCTGGTCTTTGGCTTTTTTGGAGTAACACTGTTTACTTTAGAAGCAGAAGAACGTTTTAATATAGGCAGAGTTTGATCTATACCTACAATGATTTAAATAGTGGGAAAAATATTTGTAAATATGTACAGAACACTGCTTACAAATGCTACTAAAATGGCTTTATATTTGAATTTAAGTAAAAACACTTTGAAGCTAAATTAAAGATAACATAATTGAATTATATCATACAAATGACAAAGAATGATCAAAATTTATATGATCAAAAAAAGAAAAAATTTATATGATCAATAGGTAAAAAGAAATTGTACAGATATTATGAACTACACGTATTTGAACAATTCATGAAATAAACTTTTTATACAAGAAAATTCTAAAAATACTTTCAAATAAAGAAATATATAAATAGGTATAAAAGAGGTCAGACCAAAAGAATCCGAAGCAAAAAAATTAAAGCACAGAGAATGTTCTAAGCTCAGTTCCCAAAAATGAATTTATCTTTAGATGCTTAAATACATTTGGGCTTGGAAACAAAAACCACCTTTATTCTAAAAATTTAGAAAAACCCTTTAAGATACTTAAAAAAAACTTAAGATGTCTAATGGAAAACTCAAGTTGGTTCTTTTTCCACTTATTAACAATCTGATGGGTTTAAATTATCTGTTTACTCCCTATGAACAAAGTACAAACAACTAATCTTGAATAATACCTTGCTCATTCATATGAAAAGTCTTAAGAAGTTAGTATAATGGTCTTCAAATGATACTCCCCTGAGGCTAATGATTTTGCTTTAGGGAATACAGTAAGCATGTCAGATAGAAAAACTCTTTTACCTTTTTTAAAAAATTAGATTTTTACATAAAATTTTGTTTGAGGAGATTTCATCACTAAAGATAGTTCTGAGCTTGAAAACCATCACCTTAAAGGCTTAGGGATGGTGTAATTCAGGGCATTTGCAAGAAAAGTGGGGCTATTTAGCCTATAACCAGACACAGCAAAAGTCCGTTTGAAAATAACACACAATTGTACTTTGTGATAAAGATTCTAAAACTGCACATCGTATTTTAATGCTCCCAACTGTACACTAATAGGCGAAGCAGTAGAATAGAGAAATACAAGGAAAAGGAGAGCATCGCATTAGTGGGCTCCCTGTCAGATCTGTCTTTCATTCTCTGAGATAACAGAAATGATTTTTTTTTTTCCATCTGCAAGCACATAGTTACTGACAGCCATACTGCAGGCACTTGGGACTGATTTCTGTGTAATCACTAACATTTTTCTCAGATGCTTAGGTTACTTGAACAACCAATGAGTGCTGGTATTTTGGCAACTAGTTCTCTAGCAGGCTGTATAGTAAAAATAGACTGTTTTGTATATAATTTTTTTAAGCATGAGTAAATCTCCAAGTTAAATAAAATCACTCTGAGCTCAATAGTTTTAAATTCTAACCGTTTAACTTGTTTATTTCTATTGCCTCTGGCTTGTGCTGTTCACTATCTTCAACAGTGCCAATAAAAATCCTATTCTCATTCTTCAAAATCAAGTTCAAATCCAACCTTCTCCAAGAACCTTCTATGATCATCCTTGACAGGAGTCCATTAATCATGCTTCTGAACACATAATACGTATTATCATTCATAATTATCATTCTAAGAACTGTTTACTGTCAAGTCCTTTAAAGGTTTAAGGCATTTTTCATTTCTCACTTATCTCATTTGAACCTCAAAAAAGGCCTGAGATAAGTAGAGCAAGAATTAAAATTATATCTCCAAATGGTGACTTCAGGTCTGGAGAATGAATGTATTATCTGAGAAAGATAAAAGTATATATTTCAATAAAATGAGAAAATTGAAGTGTAAAGAGGTGACTCGATAAAGGCCACAAAAATCTTGAGGATACAGGCTCAAATCTACACCTTCCTAACTGACTATAACCCTATTTCCCATCAAGGCAAAGTTCCACTCTCTGCAATACAACAACTTACAGAGAGAGTAGGCATCACTGTTTTACCCCCTAGAATCTTCAAGAATTCAGACTTTTTTATGAATAAAGACCACGTGCATTATAAAATCAGACTTCAGACAACTATTTTACTTCCTCATTTATTTTGGTTCTTGGCTATTTTACTAACTATAAGTGACACCTAGATAGGTGAATAACAAGCCATGTGTTATCAAAATGGGAAAAGTATTTTTGGCAAACATATTACTATAATTTTTTTTCTATTTTGGTTTGGTAAATGTATATGAATTTGTTAGTAAACAATTTAAACATTAAAAACTTATGGACCTCTGTCCAATTATTGAAATATAACAAATTTACTAATATACAAACAGCAATTGCTTTGATTATGGGGAATTTTTCAACTAAATAAAATTCTTTCAGGGCATACTAATTTATTTCAAGTTAATGAAGAACTTTGTTATTGTACACAAAGAACTGTAATTCTTCAATTAAAAATTTACATTATTCCTTTAATGGATATTTACTAAGTACTTACTATGCACAAATTACTATTTTTGTAATACTTCCTTTTTATAATGATACTCTGTAATCATATTTAACTATCATATCAACATCATTTATTTGGAAAGAAAGACACCAGTCTATTAAAAAAATCAACTATAACCATGTACTTTTTCTCATACTAATGGCCTTCCAAATGATTAATACTTTAAAAAAAAATGATAGTATTAGGTCATTAGGAGACTTCCTGGACTCACAGAATTTATATTAAGATTTTTCAGCCCATGGCTGGCTCTAAGTGAGAATGAGCTCAAAAAATACATGTTAGCTAACTTAATAGAAAGAGATACAATATTCTATTATTAAATAAGAAATCACACAAGAAAGGCATTCAGGGATTATTAGCTTCTATTTTATGGTATATGAAAAACTTAACATGAAGGTATGGGTTTCAAAATAAAAATTCATTCCACATCTATATGCATCAAGTTTCTTTTTATTATACTCAAAAAAAGTGCTAAGCCAAACCTTCTATATAAATTGTTGATCCCTCTTGGGACAGTGGAATTGTATCCTGGGTCAAGTCAAATAGTAAGTCTGAAGAATCATCCGATTCAACTTGTAATGAATTCTTTGTAAAATCCTGTAAAAAGTTATAATTATTTTGTTTCATAAACTTTTATAAAGGTAAGTTTAATTGTATCATAATACTATAAAGATAACACCTTAATAATTTAATTACTAATAAGCTATAAAACACTAAGGTAATTATTATTCTGTCAGAGTTAGCATTTAGTGGGTAAGGGTTATATGGGAACTCTCTGGATTACTTCTGCAGTTTTTCTATAAATCTAAAGTTAGTTTGAAATTAAAAGTTAAAGTTAAGAAATAACGATAATATTATTGGCAAAGTAGACATGTTTTGGTACAACTTTTCTGCAAGAAAATTTTGGCAATATCTATCAAGGGCTTTAAAAAGTTCATATCCTTTGACCCAAATATTCCACTTACACTAATTTATGCTAAGGAAATGAAAATATTTAATGGAGAATTATTTATAATAGCAGAAAATAAAAACCTGTATGTCCAACAATGGAGGAATGGTTAAATAAATTAAACGACAGACTATAATGCAACATCATGCTTTTGAAAAATAACCAAAAACAAAGAAAAATGTTTCCAATATAAAGTTCAGTGAAAAAAGAGGAGCACATATCTGTGTACAAAATATAATCCTGATTGATATATTCTATATACTACACTAACCATCTGCAAAAAAGGAAATCAAAGTACAGTATGTATTGTCTTGTTTCTTTTCTAACTACCGCCCCCATATACAGTACCTTTATAAAATAGGAATATAGGGATCTTGCTTGCGTGTTTTGTGCTTACAAGTTGAGAAAAAATCAGGTTTTAAGAATTTTACTTTGTTATCGTTTTCTGTTTACATAGGCTTAGTAAGAAGTTATAGAGACAGATATTGAACTGAACCAAACCATTCCATTCCTAGAATTTGAGCATAACAGGCAGATTTCTGCATTTGAGCCTTAACATGTACTATAAAAAATGGCTGTATGACTCAATGATGGCTTTATGACTTAACTGTAACCAAGCATAATCTTCTGCAAGGTAAATATTTTCTCCAAATATGTGTACTTACAAATGGAAAATATTCACTAGCAATTCTCCAAACAGTTCTTTCACAGAAGTTCCTCCAAATAAAGTTAATACTTCATTTTTTTTTAAAGATTTTATTTATTTATTTGAGAGAGAGAGAGAGAGAGAGAGCATGAGAGGGGGGAGGGTCAGAGGGAGAAGCAGGCTCCCTGCTGAGCAGGGAGCCCGATGCGGGACTTGATCCCAGAACTCCAGGATCAGGACCTGAGCTGAAGGCAGTTGCTTAACCAACTGAGGCACCCAGGTGCCCCTAAAGTTAATACTTTAAACCTTTTCCTAGGTGATAACTCTGGCCAATTAAGTACCATTATTTCAGAGAGCAGACATATTAGTCAACAAATAACTTATTAAAATAATTCTCTAATTGGGAATTTTTTATATCTCATAAAATAGTTCAGCAAGATACCAAATACAACAGTGAGGTACAACAGGCAATAGACTGGGATTTAAAAGACCTCCATTTATTTAACTGTGGAACCTTGGGCCAGTCACTTGAGATTCAAGTTTTCACCTTTCCAACTGAAATAATAGCTGCCAATTGTCTGTTTAAAACGTACTTGACTCTTTTACAGTCCATGTGTTTTATATCAGGTAGTTGTCACAACAGTACTAATAAAGACCTAATATTATCTCCCACCTTATAAATAGGTAAACTAAAGTTCAGTATAGTTAAGTAAGGTTCCCAGTACAATCCAGCTTGTTCTCGATGATGAAGCTGGAATTGGAACCGAGGTTGGCCTGATTATAAAGCCTGTGCCCTTGGGACACCTGGGTGGCTCAGTCGGGTTAAGCGTCCGAATTTTCTTTTCTTTTCTTTTTTTTCTAAGTAGGCTCCACATGGCATGGAGATCACAACCTGAGCTGAGACCAAGAGCTGGAAGCCTGAGTCACCCAGGCACCCCAGGCATCCATCCTACTCTTGATCTCAGCTCAAATCTTGATCTCAGGGTCCTGAGTTTAAGCCCCGTGGGTGTGGAGCCTATTAAAAAAAAACCACAACAACCTATGCCCTTAAGCTATATCACACTGACATTAAAAGGGACAATAACAATTATCTTCTAGACTGCCCTGAAGAGTTGTGGTAAAGAGAAGAAAAAACTTAAAATTTTCAGAGAAAATTCCCTCACATAGGATTCTCAATTTATTTGAAAATATAGATCTGTCATTCTCCACTCTGGCTCACATTAGAATCACCTGGAGAGTTTAAAAAAAAAAAAAAATCTATCATGCCCAGGCCTCACCCCAGATCAAATGATAAAAAACTGTTTTTTAAAGCTCCCTAGGATTGGGAAACTGATTGAAGAGCTTCGATTAAACACCCAAGCCCACAAAAACAAAAAGTTCTGAGTTTGAATGACCTCTAGTTTCTAAGTTTTTTTTTTTTAATATGAAAGATACCACCCCCCCCATTGTTCTCCTTCTCTAGGTCCAAGGTAGGAATAATTTTCGTCTATCTCCATGTAAATAATCATGTTCCCTTGTTTTTTTTTGTTTTTGCTTTTCTTAAATGCCAAACAGCTGAATTAGTCTGATTCCAGCTAAAATAAAATAATTTTAGCATTTCTGGCAGCCTGCCATTATCAGGTACACCTATTAAGTTTTTATTAAGAACAGCCCGTGGTTGCTTAGAGGATCCAAGTTTGAGAGCCGGTGGTTTGGGTAAAGATTCTCATTTTAAAAATGAAGAAAGTGAGGCCCACTGAGGTTGTAAACAATGCTTTAGCTAGGCACAGACAGAATCAACACTCAAGTCTTTCATTTTCAACCTAGATTTCTTGGACTACTCCTCCAGGACTCCAATTATTATTGTTTCAGAATGCAGATACAAGTCAAGGATTGAGAGTTAATAAAATTAGGAACAATTTGGGGCGCCCGGGTGGCTCAGTTGGTTAAGCGTCTGCCTTCGGCTCAGGCCATGATCCCGGGGTCCTGGGATCGAGCCCCGCATCGGGCTCCCTGCTGGGCGGGGAGCCTGCTTCTCTCCCTCTGCCTCTCTCTCTCTCTCTCTCTGACTTTCATGAATAAATAAAAAAAAATTTTAAATTAGGAACAATTTATCACTTCTTCAAGGTTAGTCTCAAGTGAGTGAAATTTTTCTCCTCTGAGTGTTTGTGATGGTCACGAATACAAAAACTACCAGCGCTGCTGGGCGCCGCTGCCTTCATTCATACGAAAGCACAGCAGTTTTACCCTCCGTTGCTTTTGCATCATCGGTGCAAACGTTGACAGAGTGAAAAGAGGAAATGTCTCAGTGTAATTATCACATCAGTTTTAACTTCACGAACCCCCGAAAGGGTCTCAGGGAACCCCAATGGTCTGTGCACTGTACTATTGCTCTAAGGCAGTGTTTCTATGTATAGCAATGCTTAAATGTATGAATGGATGTGTGTATGCATATGTTAAAACCTCTGGGCTGGGGCACCTGGGTGGCCTAGCTGGTTAAGCATCTGACTTTGGCTCAGGTCATGATCTCAGGGTGCTGGGATCAAGCCCTGCATCATCTGCTTCTCTCTGCCCCTCTGCCCCTCCCCCTGATTATGCTCGCTCTCTCTCTCAAATAAATAAATAAAATCTTAAAAAAATAAAATCAAACCTCTGGGCTAACCTGGATTGAAATCCCAGATCCATCTTTTATTTATGAGTCATATGGCCTTGAGTGAATTATTTAGCCTGAGTCTCAGTTTCCTCAACTATAAAATGGGGATAATAACTGTGCCTACCTCATAGGGAAATCGTAAGAATTAAATGATATTAATTTAGGGGCGCTTGGGTGGCTCAGTTGGTTAAGCGACTGCCTTCAGCTCAGGTCATGATCCTGGAGTCCCGGGATCGAGTCCCGCATCCTGCCGAGCAGGGAGCCTGCTTCTCCCTCTGACCCTCCCCCTCTCATGTGCTCTCTGTCTCTCTCATTCTCTCTGTCTCAAATAAATAAATAAAATCTTTAAAAAAAAAAAGATTAATTTACATACAACATTCAGAATAAAGACTTACCCATAGTAACAGAATAACAAATGTTAAATATTACCATTAACTATTACTTCTCTTAAAAGTTTTAAAAGCTAAGCCATGAAAGTAGGTTTTCAGAGTAAACAGCAACAATGACCTCAGAACGATCTTCCCAAATAAGAATACCTGGTTCCGTTTACTCTCTTAAGAATTTTGCCATTATGCAACATTCATTACTGATCATTTTTTTTTACTCAGTTTTAGATAGCCTAGTTTTCAATATTATACCTATTTAATTTAAGCATATTACCTGATTTATTGACAAGTTGGTTAGTTCCTACAGTTATTACTTTGGGTATTGGTTGAGCTGTCAAAGATAGTGACATTTTCTGATTGTGATCATGCTTCTAGTGGAATGGTGACTAGCTATGATAGTCCACAATTCTAACTGGGTACTATAATATCCATTGCATCCCTGAGCTAATTATAGTTTCAGAAACACTTACAGGTTTAGACACGTTCTGAACAATAACAGAATTCTGTGAAGATTTAGATTCAGGATGAAATCTAGGCAAGGCAGCCACTGGATTTGATGTTGGATCTTTGCAGTGTTGACTTGTAGGCTTGAATGGATCAGTAACACCTGCATTTTAAAATTACACAACATATTGAATATTTTTCTATACAACCAATTTTGTTAAAATACTTCACTTTAAAATTAAAATGGTATAATACTATACCTTGAGTGAGTGTCTCATTCTTTATTCCCTTTGAAGATGAGCTGGGGTTACCTCTGTTCAAAATATCTACAAATATTATGTTTATTTTAAAACTCATTATTTGAATTGTATATTTAGACAATAAAAAACTTTCCAAAAATATATCCACATACAACTAATAATTTAAGTATATTTCTTTCTCTTAGTGGTGACCTCAGATCAAACCCTTCCCCAATTCCCATGCCACATTCATACCCCCTAAAAGCCTGGAAGTTTCATTATGGGTAAGCTGGTCACATTATCTGTACCACTCCTCTTGAGTTCTGAGAGGGACACTACTGAAGACTGCAGACTAAATTTAATCTAGAGTTTACCATAGTATCTCAAATCTACTACTATACCAAAAGTCAATTGGAGCCTGACATGACCCTATGAATCAGTTTAAGATGCTCACTCCTGTACCCGTGTGAACCCATAACTTCTAGGTTATTAAGGAATCAAATGAAAATTTGGAAGAGTAGAGATATGCCTAAAATTGCTAATCAGGAAAAGGTATATTTTAAAAATCCCATAAAACCTCAAAAAAATTTCCTTTTCCCCTCCTAGTGGAAAAGAACCAGATCTCATAGATTAATTCCATAAAGTAAAGGGTCACACAAAAGTAGGGTTGTTTTATGATAATGGAAATTCAATTCTCTAAACCTAGGCACTACAGAAGTTTCCTAGGAGAAAAATCTGCTCAAACAACTTGATATTGTTTTCATTCAGAAATTTAAAATACTGGGCGCCTGGGTGGCTCAGTTGGTTAAGCGACTGCCTTCAGCTCGGGTCATGATTCCAGGGTCCTGGGATCGAGCCCCGCATCGGGCTCCCTGCTCAGTGGGAAGCCTGCTTCTCCCTCTCCCACTCCCCCTGCTTGTGTTCCCTCTCTCACTGTGTCTCTCTCTCTGTCAAATAAATAAAAAAAAGAAAGAAATTTAAAATATTTACTCAAGCCATTAAAGAGTTAAACCTATAGTACTTTGTGGTGACTGTAGTCTATCAAACACAACCTTTTACCATCCCTCCAACTTAATGATGGTTCTATATAAATATTTAGCTCATATTCCATATGCCAAAAATATTTTATGGCTCACACATAAAACATCAATAAAATCACCTAAATTTTGAGTTCATTTAGAAAAGAAATTTCACTGGGGTCAACTTTCTTTTTGATAGAATCACTTAAAACTAACACACATTATTCAAGTTGAGTACTGTTAACAGTTATCTACAGTTGATATAAACCCAACCTGAACTGCCAGGCTTTCAATAAGATGATCTGAATAATAATTTGAAATATGATAGTATTTTGGGATAAAAATAATCACAGCAACTAGGAAACAATATTTATATTATTCTGTTCCACTATCAGCAACAAACATGCCAACATACTTCATTTTATAATTGAAGTGACATTCCACTTAGCACCTCTCAATTTGCCACAGGAAATGATATTGAGAATTAAATTATTCTATCTCTGATAAAACTGAATAGAAGAGCTATTCGAAGTTTAGAGTCAAGAGAAGCAAAAACCGGGCTTTCAAAAAATTAAAAAACTCCTCTCTTAACCACAATATTTCGCACTGCCATGATAGGTAAGAAAACACTGGTATGGCTGCCTACATTCTTTGCTAAATTCTCCTGGCTTAAAAAAAAGTAAGTATAATGGAAAAGAATCTATTTTCTCGTTCTCCCCTGAAATTCAGTATGTTGTTCCTCTGCACTTTACACATTTTTTATTGGACATTTTAACAAGTGTCATCAGTATCTTCACTATAACATTATCACAATGGCAATTCTAACTCTAACTGAAATCTAACAATCTACAAAATTACTGAACGTGTTCTGCCAGAAAGCCATGAGGATTAAGTGTGCTAACCGCCTGCATTGTACTAGTACAGTAGCTAAAGACCAGACCCTCCCTCCTTCCTTCATGAATATAATCAGGAGTTGTTGGAAGATGCGTGTGGCCAGAAACTATAGCTCAGGTTGGTACACATACCAGAGACTGTATAATCATGCAGTGCCTGTTCATTTTGTAGCCATGATTCAAGATGACACTGTGATGAGGCAGTTGTCTGGCTGTGAGAACCCTCATCAGAGACTAACAAACTTACTCAGTATTCTGGTATTTTAAGCAAAGCACTCCAAACACTTCCTATTCTAGGTGTTTTTGGACTTAAGGGAGAAAAAGAAAAATTAACAAACAGGTGAATAGGCTACTTAGCTCCACTAAAACTTAAGATTGCCAATTTCAGAAGGCCTATAATGCTGTTAGGTAATCTTAACCTTTAGTTACCTTAGTTAACATTTCCCTTTTCTCTCAAATGGTATTTTAACCTCTGACCTTACTCAAGTCCCCAACCATATCCCCCCTCTGATTCTCACAAATTCTCACTGATCTGTATGCTTCAACTCCTTACAGAATAACAAGGACACAGAAGACAGCTCACAGATTTTTCTATTAGAAACAGCAACTTATAAAACTTTACTTCACTGAAATAAATGCTTACTTGAAATGGCTGGTTTTGAACTTGATATCTCTCCAACAAAAATCAGCTCATCATCATCTTCATCCAGAATTTCTTCTACTTTTTTCTGCCACGGTTCCAGCTCTTCTTCTTCACATTCCATAAAGAGTTCTGCCATTTTTGGGTTATCTAATTTTCAAGAGAGAAACGCATCTTATTTTTTTAAAAACTTTTTGCAATGCATAGTATGATATTTAAGATATACTTTAATAATCTTAATATTAATTACTGAATTGATATTTGCAGTCAGTACAACTCACCTCAATCTCTAAGATCTAAACTAGTAAACTAGTAAAATTAAGCTAGCTAAGTAACAGACGATAGTAATTACTAGTAGTTGCCAATAAATTTTAAGAATAATCAAATCCAAAAAAACCTTGAAACATAAAAAAAAGAGTAATCAAACCCAGGAAAGAATATCCAATGGGAAAAAGATAGTCTCCTCAACAAATGGTGTTGGGAAAACTGGACAGCAACATGCAAAAGAATGAAACTGGACTTTTTTTTTTTGAAGATTTTATTTATTTATTTGACAGAGAGAGAGAAAGCACAAACAGGGGGAGCAGGAGAAGGAGAAGCAGGCTCCATGCTGAGCAGGGAGCCGGTTCAGGGCTCGATCCCAGGACTCTGGGATCATGACCTGAGCCGAAAGCAGACGCTTAACCCACTGAGCCACCCAGGTGCCCCAGAATCTGGACCACTTTCTTACACCAAACACAAAAATAAATTGAAAATGGATGAAAGACCTTGGGAGCCTGCTTCTCCCTCTGCCTCTCTCTCTCTCTCTGTCTCTCATGAATAAATAAATAAAAATCTTTAAAAAAAGGGGGGGGGGCGCCTGGGTGGCTCAGATGGTTAAGCGTCTGCTTTCAGCTCAGGTCATGATCCCAGGGCCCTGGGATCGAGTCCCGCATTGGGCTCTCTGCTCCTTGGGAGCCTGCTTCTCCCTCTGCCTCTCTCTCTCATGAATAAATAAATAAAAATCTTTAAAAAAAAAAATAGATGAAAGATGTGAGACAGGAAACCATTAAAATTCTAGAGGAGAACACAGGCAGTAATCTTTTTGACATCAGCTGTAGCAACTTCTTACTAGATATGTCTCCTGAGGCAAGGGAAACAAAAGCAAAAATAAAGTACTGGGACTTCATCAAATTAAAAGCTTCTACACAGTGAAGGAAACGATCAACAAAACTAAAAGGCAACCTATGGAATGGGAGAAGATATTTGCAAATGACATACCTAATAAAGGGTTAGTACCCAAAATATATAAAAAACCGATACAACTCAAGACCCAAAAAACAATCCAATTAAAAAATGGACAAAAGACATGAATAGAGGGGCGCCTGGGTGGCTCAGCTGGTTAAGGTTGTCTGCTTTCGGCTCAGGTCATGATCCCAGGGTCCTGGGATCGAGCTCCGCATCGAGCTCTCTGCTCAATGGGGAGCCTGCTTCTCCCTCTCCCTCTGCCTGCCGCTCTGCCTACTTGTGCTCTAACAAACAAATCAATAAAATCTTTAAAAAAAAGATGGGGCGCCTGGGTGGCTCAGTCGGTTAAGGTTGTCTGCTTTCGGCTCAGGTCATGATCCCAGGGTCCTGGGATCGAGCCCCACGTCGGGCTCCCTGCTCAGGGGGGAGTCTGCTTCTCCCTCTCCCTCTGCCTGCCTCTCTGCCTACTTGTACTATCTCTATGTCAAATAAATAAATAAAATCTTTTAAAAAAAAGATATGAAGAGATATTTTTCCAAAGAAGACATATAGATGGCCAACAGACACGTAAAAACATGCTCAACATCACTGATCATCAAAGAAATACAAATGAAAACTACAATGAGATACCATCTCACACCTGTCAAGAGGGCTAAAATCAAGAACACAAGAAACAACAGGTGTTGGTGAGGATGTGGAGAAAGGGTAACCTTCCTGCACTGTTTGTGGGAATGTAAACTGGTGCAGCCACTCTGGAAAACTGTATGGAGGTTCCTCAAAGGTTAAAAATAGAACTACCCATGATCCAGCAATTGCACTACTAGGTATTTACCCAAAGGATACAAAAATACTAATTCAAAGGGATACATGCACCCCTATGTTTATAGCAGCATTATCTACAACAGCCAAATTATGGAAACAGCCCAAATGTCCATCAACTGATGAATGGATAAAGAAAAGGTGGTATGTGTATACAGTGGAATATTACTCAGCCATAAAAAGAATGAAATCTTGCCATTTGCAACAGTGTGGATGGAGCTAGAGAGTATTATGCTAAGTGAAGTAAGTCAGAGAAAGACAAATACCATATGATTTCACTTATATGTGGAATTTAAGAAACAAAACAAATGAGCATAGGGGGGGAAAAAGAGAGAGAGGCAAACAAAGAAACAGACTCCTAACTCTAGAGAACAAACCAATGATTACCAGAGCGGGGTGGGGGGTGGCTGGGGGGGTTTGGGAATGATGGTTGAAATAGGTGATGGGGATTAAGGAGTGCACTTGTGATGAGCACCAGGTGTTTTATGGAAGTGCTGAATCCCTATATTGTATACCTGAAACTAATATTACATTGTATGTTAATTAACTGGAATTTAAATAAAAACTTAAAAAAAGAATAATCAAATCCAATCAAAAGCAGTTTCAGTTTTATGAACAGAATATATCTATTAAAGGATTGTACCTAACTATATCTGAAAAAAAAAACCCATAAACTTTTATGTTAACAAAAAGGAGGTAAGCTAAGAATAAGAGGCAACAGGTTGGAGATACACTAGAAAAACTGAACTAGGTTCATAAACACCAGGCACAGAGCAAAGCAGGGATGAAGTGCAAGAATGAAAATAGGGGACTTAAGTGAGGCTTATTCCATCCCAGGAAAGATTAGACATTTCTCACCTGAAGAAACTAAGCAAAGAACATACTGTGAATACCACCAGCCTACTAGTACTGACCAAGCATTCAGAATTCTGAGGAAGCATTTTAGTGCCTCCTAAATATGGATAGACAACCAGTGAATACCAGAAATATGACTAAACCTCCAATGTGAAAGACCAAAACAATAAAACAGATTAAAAGCTCTTAAAGAAAACAGAGATGGTACAGAATGCAAAAGTTATTAATGTAATTAGCATTTTTAGAGAAATAAATGTTATAAAATGTTATAAAACGTATGTTATAAAAAGTAACACTCAGAAAATAAAAGTTTAAGAATAAGACAGCCAAAATTCAGTAAAAGAAAAACCCAAAAACACAAATGCCGAAGTTGAATAACTGTCCCATAAGTGGAACTAAAAGACAAAAAATAGATATACACTAAATAGATGGGATTATTAGAAATCAATTTCAAAGGTACAATTCACCTAATAAAAGTTCCAGAAAAAGAGAAAAAAGAAAGGGGATGTAATCAAAGGAAAAATACAAAAGAAATTTCTAGTTCTAAAGGACACAAATGTCCAGATTGAAAAGGCCTACCAGGACCCAGCACAAAAATCAAGGAAAAAAGTCTACAGTAGAGGAATCTCTCATGAGACTTGAGAATGCTGGAGAGGGAAACTATCCTAAAATCAGCAGGAGAGAGAGAGAGTTAGAATAATGCTTTCAAAAGTATTAGTGAAAATAATTTTCAATTTAGAATTCTATACCGACCAGCCAAGGTTTTCATCAAGCATGAAGTACATATTCTTTCATCAAAAATAAAGGTCACCAACATCACACAAAATTTACCCCCCCATTCACCCTTTCTTTCTTAGGAAGAATCCACCAAAATATGGGACTTAAGAAGGAGAAAGATACAGAATGCAGAAAACATGACATTCAATACAATACAAAGACAAAGGAAAAGTCCCAGGATAATAGCTGTTCAATAGGTCTAGATAACAACCAGCCAGAATAGGGCAAGAGAACATGACTCCCAGGAGGAATGTCTCCAGGAAACCACAGACAGACAGACACACACACAAAGATTCAAAAATTAAAATGTTAGATTACCTGGCAAGTTTTACCATGTAGAAAATTGAGTTAAGAGGCTACGGAAGGGGTTAAGAAGACTTGGCTATAGACTTTAATAAAATTTAGCAAATTCAGTCAACTATACTTCAATAAAAAAAAAATTTAGCAAATTTTAAAAAATTAAAAATTTGAATATCTGGGTATATACAAAAAAGAGAAAAAGGGAATATATCCATAACATATTAATACCATAGCACTATACTCATCAGTGAACAATATTTATTATGGCCATTACAATAAAAACATTTAATATGATTTAACCAAAAACTGAGATATAAATGCAGTGGGAGATGCTTAGAGGGAGGAGTAAGTGTAAGAAAACTAAAATCATCATGTTCCGTTGATAGAAAAATTAGATAATGGCAAGAAAATGATGATTTAAGAGACAGGAGTATGTGTATGTGTTTTAAAAATTTAGAAATATGGAGGGGCGCCTGGGTGACTCAGTCAGTTGAACATCTGCCTTCGGTTCAGGTCATGATCCCAGGGTCCTGGGATCGAGCCCCACATTGGGCCTCCCTGCTCAGCGGGGAGTCTGCTTCTCCCTCTGCCTCTCCCCCCTCCCCCCCGGCTTGTGCTCTCTCTCTCACTCACTCTCTCTCAAATAAAATCTTTAAAAAATTTTTTTTTAAATTTAGAAATATGGAAATTATTAGGAAAAAAAGCTAAAATATTGAAAGTGAATGGCTTGCAAAAACAAGGAGTAACAAGCCCAGAACACATGCACACCACTCTCAAACTCTTACCCTTCAAGAAACTGTGGTTATGCAACTTTATAACTTTCAGATTATTTTTTACAATTATGCATGCATTGTTCTGCTTTTAAAAAAGTATTGAGGGGGGTGCTTGAGTGGCTCAGTTGGTTAGGCAACTGCCTTCAGCTCAGGTCATATGATCCCAGGGTCCTGGGATTGAACCCCATGTCAGGTTCTCTGCTCAGTGGAGTCTGCTCCTCGCTCTCCCTTTGCCCCTCTCCCACTTGTGCTCGCACGCTCTCTCTCTCTCAAATAAATAAAATCTTAAAAAAAGTATTAAGGGAGCCCCTAAATTAATATAATAGCAATGGGGATGGATACAAGTGGTACTAGATATATGCAGTGAGATGTAGGTGGAGGAACAACTAAAAAGAAACAAAATAATAATTCCAGGATTCTGGCTTAGACAATAATCATCTGTTTTTCTTAGACAATGATATCTTTACTTTTTAAATGCAATCATTTCTAAAGGTAATTTTACTAGATTAAATGTCATTTTTAATTTTGACTCAAAATTCATGTGTGAAAACAATGATTTGGGGATGGCTTACAAAAGAAACACCATAACAAACAGGCACCATTTGGGTGCCTGGGTAGCTCAGTTGGTTCAAGCGACTGCCTTTGGCTCAGCTCATGATCCTGGAGTCCCAGGATGGAGTCCCACATCGGGCTCCCTGCTTAGTGGGGAGTCTGCTTCTCCTTTTCACCCTCCCCCCTCTCATGCTCTCTCTCATTCTCTCTCAAATAAATAAAATCTTAAAAAAAAACCCAAATAGGCACTATTCTTTTAAAATTATTTAAAGTTAATTTCCTCATCTATATAGGTATGCCAAAATCATTTCTTGGCATAATGTTGTTTAATGTTTAGTGGTCTACTTACCATAAAACAAAACAAAACAAAAACCTTCTCACCCTTCCAAATGTAACCAGTTTTATGAACTTTCTTTTCTAACTTTACTTCGAAAACACATATACAGAATGGTCTAAGTCAAATAATTAAGAGTAACTCACAGTTTAGCATCTTCATATTCTGAATACTTGAAAACACCATCCTCATTGTGTCCCCTGGAGTCCTCCTTTGTAGGGTTTATTCTATCTAAAATATTCTTCCTTCTTACCTTATATTGTCCACGTTATTCATGTATAGTAGAAGGAGCATGGACTTGACATCAAATTGAATAGCTGAAATCTCCATTGCACCATTTCTAATCACGTGACTCTGGAGAAATTACTTGGATCTTGTTTTCTTACTTCTAATATGGGTACAATATCTACCTAATAGAAGTGGCAATGTAGACTGAGAAAAATGTCATATGAAGTACCTAACCTAACCTCAAGCAAATACTCAACAAAATCTTAATTCCCAACTCTTGGTTCAGTTACAACTTCCTCAATAAACCAGTAGACCTTGTTTGTCTTCCACCTTTTACTACATTGGCATTCTATACCATATAGTTCAAGATTTACTATATATAATTTCAAATTGCTCACTATTTCTTAATGTGTTTTTTTTTTTTAAGTCAGCTCTACACCTAATGTGGGGCTTGAGCTCATGACCCTGAGATCGAGTCAGATGCTCTACTCACCGAGCCACCCAGACACCCCTCTTAATGTGTGTTTCTTTACTGTACACGTCTAACACCAAAGTAAGATCCAAAGGAAGAGTGAAGAACTTATTTTCTTCTTCCTTTGTATCTCCTCCTATACATAGTAGTCTACTGGATAAGCATCAGCACTTAATATGACAATCAGTGAACTAAGAAACTAGGCAGTCAGGCAATGCCAAATTTAAAAAGAAATGAGGGACACTCATGTATACAGATAATAAAAAAAATAATTTATATCTATGTTGATACCATGGTCTTGATACCATGTCTGACACATAGATCTTCCTCATTCTTTTTAACGGGGTACTGCCATTGTCAATATATTCAAGATAGATTGTTGAGTAAAAAAATTTTAAAGGCACATAATAGCATATATAGTATGGTCTTATTTAGAAAATTTTTGACTATGCATAGAAGAAAATTTGTGGGTGGGGGGATAACTCGGTGATGGGCATTAAGGATGGAGGACATGTGATGTGATGAGCACTGGGTGTTATACTGAACTGATGAATCATTGAACATTGTATAAAAAACCAATGATGTATTATACCTTGCCTAATTGAATTTAAATTAAAAAAAAAAGAAAAAAGCTTGTGATTATGTGTACCAAACCAATAATAGTAGTTATCTCTGGAGATCAGGAAGAAACACTTCATTTCTACTTTACTGACATTTTTATTGTATATTTTCTTTTTTACTATGAGCATGTATTACTTTAATAAATTTAAGTGTTCTTTTAAAATGTGCATACTTCTGTTTCTTTTACCTTTTCTCACAAAGGAAGGTCATCAGTACAAAAGCCACGCATACTAGTATCACTTGCAGCAGGAATACTTACTTTTTGATTGAAAAGGGTTGTCGTCGTCCATCAAGTTGCAGAGTCACCTAAGCACCAACACATGACATCAATCAATTTTATGAGTTACTTTAACACCAAATATTGAAACATGAAACTTGGGATTCAGAAATCTTTGGGTCTAATTTTGATCTCCAGCAAACTCACCATATGACTCCAGAGAAGAAAGCAAGTTAAGTCTTAGTTTTCTGCCCTATAAGATAAAGATACCTACTATTAGGGTGGATTTGTTAAATGCATTCACATTTAATCATTTTCTCCTACAAAGAGCTTACCTTTTGAGTTTGATATGTTTGATATACACATGCTACTGACTTTACCTAATTGTAAATGCAAATTTAGTAAATAAAATGCTGAAATGTATTAAGCATTTATTACTCGAAGAAATCTGATGGACTGTTAAATTACAAATAAGTTTTGAAAAGTACCTCTGTGTAAATATGAGTAATCACCTTGTACTACATGTTTTAGTCAATCTCAATTTTGAAATGCTAAGTGACATTAATCTTTAACCGTTACTTATTCTCCATATTTCAGAAATAAATGTAATTATTACAAGAAAACACATACAAAAAAGTTTTAGTTTATATATTTTTATTTCTTATTAACACTAACTGCAAGGAATAGAAAATCAGTTGGATAAACTTCATTATAGATTAATTCATTAAAAAATAATGACTCATTGCCTTCTGTGCTCAAAGTGATATTCTCAGTTCTAGGGAAAAAATAAGATGAATAAATCATAGTCCTTGCCTTCAGAAGATTATAGTCTAATATATCTACAGTTCTTTGGGCTTTTAAAAAAGCTGTTGTATTAAACATTATCAAAAATTGTTTTTGAATTGCTTTCTTTAAAGCAGGAATTCACAGTTGTCTTTATTTTCAGACTGATAAAAGCAAGCTTTCCTGCTTTTTCCAATTCCAAATTATTTAGACTGAATTAGGCCAAAGGAAAAAACATACTTTAACTCCAGAAGAAGTTACTGGTATGAATGTTTGAATTACTATCACAAGGATCTCAAGTGAATTCTGTACTTAAGTAAATGTCCTGAGGTTTGACTATTCAAATCTCTTTAACTCAATTATTTGAATAGTTACTATTTCTCCCTAAACTAGAATTAAGGTACTGCATATGTCAAGTAGAAAAATACATGTCAATTCTTGCTCAGTATTAAAGACCTACTGCCACTAGGAACACAAGTTTTTTTTTTAAGAGTCACAACTGCATAGCCTATGGAGATTCATGTATAACACTTTTATTAAATGCTCACATAAAATATCTATTAGCACAAATAGCCTGAAATTAGAACTGAACATACATGTAGTTTATATAAACAAGTCATATCCACTGCCTATGACTACAGAGATGAATTCTGAGGCCTGTAACAGCCACCAAGGAGCTTCAATTGGTACATTTATAAACACTCTAAAAAGTCAGAAATCTTCAGATGCCATTAGAACCATAACTTCACCTAAAGCTGCACTATCCAATAAAGTAGTCAAGCCCTCCAAAACTATCACCACAAAAAAACTCTCAAGTCATAATTTCAGAGTTCTGGTGACAATGCAAGGAATTATATGGGAAGTAAGTCATCTGTCAAAGAAATGGAATACCCAGCAAAACGTGCAATGAGGATCTTAAAGCTCCCGTAATAGCAGCTCCAGAGGGTCTCTAGGTTCTGCAACTCAGAGCTGGCACCAAAATAGGCAGAACAGAAAAGAACTCTCCACTTCAGCTATTGACTTAGGTAGAGATACTATGCCCATGTTAGTACACTGTTCCTATGAGGGAAAAATGAATTCCAAGTAACTAATGAAAGACCTCTTGGAATACAATCCAGTTTTTGGAGACGGCCTGTATAAATAATAACTACTATTTAGATATTTTATGGTTTCAGTTTCTATATATTTAAAATTCACCTATCTTTTAAGAGTTCAATTCTACAAAATTTTCAAAAAATGTTAATAGATTAAAATAGTTAAAATGGTAAATTGTATGTTATGTGCATTTCGTGCCTACTAGGATGGCTATAATAAAAAAGGCAGATAATAACAAGTGTTGGCAAGGATATGGAGAAATTGGAACCCTCATACACTGCTGGTGGGAATATGAAATGGTGCAGACACTGTGGAAAATACTTTGGCAGTCACTCACAAAGTTATACATAGTTACCATATGACACAGCAATTCCACTCCAAGTGAGAGAATTGAAAACATATGCCCATACAAAAACTTATACACGGGAATGTGCATAGCAGCATTATTTATAATAGCCAAAAAGTGGAAACAACCCACATGCCAACCGATGAATGGATAAACAAAATGTGATATACCTATACAATGGAATAATATTCAGTCATAAGAGCAATAATACTGATACATACTATAACATGGATGAACCTTGGGAACATACTAAGTGAAAGAAGCCAGTCAAAAAGACCATGTATTATATGACTTCATTTACATGAAATGTCCAGAAATGGCAAATTCATAAAGACAGAAAGTACAGTAGTGGTTGCTTAGGGCTGGGAGGGCTGGGGGTAAAGTGGGGAGTGACTCTTAGTGGATATGGCGTTTCTTTTGGGGGTGATGAAAATGTTCTAAATTGACTGTGGTGATGGTTACATGCCACTGTGAATATACTAAAACCATTAAATTGTATACTTCAAATGGCTGAATTGAATGTTATGTGAAATTTTTAAAGATTAGTTATTTTAGAGAGAATAAGAGCATGGGGTGGGGAGGGGCAGAGAGAGAGGGAGAGAGAGAGAATCTTGATCAGACTCCCCACTGAGCATGGAGCCCAATGCTAGGCTCAATCCGATCCCAGGACCCTGAGATCATAACCTGAGCCAAAATCAAGTCGGACACCTAACCAACTGAGCCACACAGGGGCCCCTATTATGTGAATTTTATCTTAATAAAGCTGTTAAGAAAAATAATAAGCTGGTAGGATATAAGCCTGGGAGTAATGGAGTCACTATGTGGAGAAAGAATGTCTAAGAAAGAAACCAACAAAGAAAATGGAAAAGCCTTAAGATTCTGGGGTAGAGAAAGAGTAGGGTAGGGAGATATTCAAGTTCTGATAATACCATTAAATACCTGAAGCTAGCCATGCTTGAAGTTAATTAACTATTAAGACTTTTCAGTTAAGAGGAGGAATAATTGTTCATTTCTGGTTTAATCCACCTTGAGCGAGGTTTCTGGTACTTGCATCCAAGAGTAATAATACACTTACCAGTGGCTTATTACCCCCATATTTTTCAAACTAATAGACCTCTGGGGAAAAGATAATGCGGATGGTGCAAGAGTGCTCTATCTAAAACAATATATTGTTTTGCTATCTAAAAACTTCCAAATATACAATAGTCTTATTAACTGTAATCACCATTCTATAAATTACATCTCCAAGGCTTATATTACTGGAAGTTTGTACCTTTTGGCCATCTTCACCAAATTCGTCCATCCCACACCCCAGCTCTGGCAACCACCAATGTGTTCTCTGTATCTATAAGTCCCTCCCCTTTTTTAAAGATTCCACATGTAAGTGAGATCATACAGTATTTGTCTTTCTGATTTATTTCACTTAGCATAAAGCCCTCAAGGTCCATGCATGTCATGAATGGCAGGATTTCCTTCCTTTTTATGGCTGAATAATAGTCCATTTTATATTTATACACCAAATTTTCTTTATCTATTCATCCAATGATGGACACTTTGGTTGTTTCCATCTCTTGGCTATTGTAAATAATGTTGCAATGAACATGGGGATGCAAATATTATTTCGAGTTAGTGTTTTCATTTTCTTCAGATAAATACCCAGAAGCAGGAATTGTTGGATCATATCAGTACTGCTGTTTTTGTCTGTCTTTACTACTGCATTTTCATCAAGTACTATCACTTTTACTGCTGCTGGCTAATAACAAACTAAAGAACATAGGAAGAAAATATCTAAATGATGCATTTGCACTAAATGGACAAATGACAGTATGGTTAGCTATAAAAATGATGGTATTTAAAAGATTCAAATAGAAAAATCTTGCCATTGTTTAGATAGGTATGAAAAATGCAATACAAGTAGGCAGTGACTTTGTTTCATCAAAATGTATATTCACTCAATGTATTAAAGTTAATTCCAATAGCATTGATTTTATAGTTTTGATTTTGTTTTATGATTGTGTAAGAGCTCTAGAAATATTTTAAACATTTTAAGTAGGAAGATGTCTATGAAAATGTTTTCTTATAACAGAAATTAATTGCTACAGTACTCAAATGCAAGGAACACTGGATTAGGGCGCCTGAGTGGCTCAGTTGGTTAAGCGACTGCCTTCAGCTCAGGTCATGATCCTGGAGTCCCTGGATCGAGTCCCACATCGGGCTCCCTGCTCAGCGGGGAGTCTGCTTCTCCCTCTGACCCTCCCCCCTCTCATGCTCTCTCTATTTCTAGCTCATTCTCTCTCTCAAATAAATAAATAAAATCTTAAAAAAAAAAAAAAAGGAACACTGGATTATACCTTAATTCCTTAGACAATTTCATTGACACCTAAACAATTCAAACTCTCAAACCAGGTTTTGGGAACAAATCACATATAATTTAGAAGGAAAACTTAGGCTCATCATCTTTTTTTTGTTTAAGAAATTTTTATATTGTGGGAATTATTTTTTTCAAGTCTGAACACATGAAGTCCTGGCATATTTTGAGAAGATATTTCTTTAATAATTTTCCTATTTCCCCCTTATTTTATTTAGGTTTTCATTTTTTTTCCCCTCTGTCGACATTCAGATTTCATCTATTTGTGGAAAGTAGCTAGTTGACACTACAACTGAGGTTCATTAGCATAATACTTTGCCAAGATTGCTTATATATATATATTTTTTTTTAAAGATTTTATTTATTTATTTGAGAGAGAGAGTGAAAGAGAGAAAGAGCACAAGAGGGGGGAGCGGGAGAGGGAGAAGCAGACTCCCTGCTGAGCAGGGAGCCCGATGCGGGACTTGATCCCGGGACTCCAGGATCATGACCTGAGCCGAAGGCAGTCGCTTAACCAACTGAGCCACCCAGGCGCCCCAAGATTGCTTATATTTTAAAACATTTTCTTTTATGTTAGTTTTTTGGGTGGGGTGCTATAAAATTTACTTTCTGCAAAGTAATTTTTATATCATACTCAAGGTAAAGATTTTACCTATAAGAATGTTTTTATTGCACTTCATATGTAGAAGGCATAATCTGCAAAAAAGGCTAAAATAATTGGCTTTTCAAAGCCAAATTATATAATAAATATTTTATATAAGTTTCATAAGATATTCTATAATCACTAATTACTAATCTCAGGAAGTATTATTAATTAATTCACATTTTATAGGGATAAAACATCCACTGTGGAAAATGTCAAGTAAAAGAGTAGAGTACAATGATGAAAACACTTGACATAGGGGCTGAATAACTGGGAATTTTGAATCTACCACTTTCTGATTGCCAAACCTACAGGATGTTTAATCAACCTCTCTGAGCTTAGTTTTACTACCTGTAAAGTAAAAACAGTAGTATCTTCCTTGCAGCACTATTAGGAAGATTAAATAAAGCACAAGAAAAATTATTGTACAGTACATTATTTTACTCAACTTTTCCTTCTTTAATGGAAGTCATATTACAAGTTGATGAATATAAACACTAAAGGAAAACAAAATCCTAGTTCATGTAAAGAACTGCTAAGATGTTGTCACCAATAACGTACACCAGACCAGTAGTTCTCCAGCTTTTTGATCTCAGGATGTCTCAGGACCTCTTTGCATTCTTCAAACCTGAAGACCCAAATGAGCTTGTTTATATGGATTATATCTATTGATATTTACCATAATAGAAATTGAAAATGAGAAAAAATTAAATATGTATTATTTAAAGTAATAAGCCCATTACATGTTCATATAAATATTTTAATGAAAATAACTATTTTCTAAAACAAAAAATTTAATGAGAAGAGTGGCACTGATTTACATTTTTGCAAATGTCTTTAATATCTGTTTAATAAAAGACAGCTGGATTCTTTTATCAGATTCTTTTATCAGCTAAATATATACAAAGTACACCATGTTTCAATCCTTATTAAATATCTAATAAAGTTGATTTCACTATTTCTTTATTTTTATGTAAATTATTTGTAAAAGGACTTAAAATATAAAAAATAAAATAAAATGGTCCATTTTATCCAGATGATACATAGGGATCACTATTTTCCTTGACATATTGAGGGTTAATAAAACCACTCCTTAAAATAAAACTGCTTTGCAGAGAATGAATCAAAAACACATTTTTGATACAAATTACTGAGTAAACCATGTCTTCCTGAGTCATTATTTAAAACCTTATAAAAACCAAACATTTTCAAGTCCCTCTCTGAAGCGGGAGGAGAGAAAAAATATTCAGCGTTATATATTTAATTACTGAATATATCACAAATATTTCTGTTCTTTGAAAAGTTACTTTTGAAACAACAAACTATGTTTTCAATATGTTTCCTATATCCAGTCACTAAAACTATGGATTACTTTCTATTCACAAAAATCACTTTTCAGCTAAGTATTTTTCCTGCCCAGTTAGTATAACAACAGCAACAACAATTTTTTTGATATGGCTCTAAATGTCCTCTTGAATAAAGAAAACAAATGGTAGAGAAGCAAGGATACTGAATTATATACTCTTTCCACTTAAGTCTCCTTTTTTACTAAAAATGCTGGTGCTGGGTAGTAAAACACTGGGATGAAGAAATCAGATTGGACTAGAAAACTTAAGTGAGGAAAATGGGTTGAACAGGGAAGCTGAAATTTGGAGCCCTTCAACATCACAACTTTTTCTGATGGAAAAATGAGCTACTGGAAGAATGGGCTATTCTTCAACATTTCAACATGCTTGGAAATAATAACGATATCATTTAAATACTAAAAAGTTGAAAAGATATTAAGTCTTAAAAATGAAAATATAAAGGAAAGGGAAATTGAAAAATAGCTCCTATATTTTTTTAGGTGAGTGTCCTTGCTTATTCTCCTTGACCACCTCATTCCCATTAGAAGTGGGGCATGATACAGTGAACTGAGCATTGGAGAAGTCAGAAGACCTAGGTTCAAGAACTGGTTCTATCACTTCCTATCCAAGTCGCCTCAGGGAAAGTCTTCTCCTTGAGGCTGTCTTCTCACCTTCTAAACAGTTCTACCAACACTCCACAGCACCTTAAAAGGACCAATTATCAATGACTATACAAATGAAAGACTCAATTATAGCGGAATCTGTACCGATGTTAAAGCACCAAGGGCACACAGTCCTAACTTAATTTTATAAGCAAACCAGTTCCCTCATAAGCTCAGTAAAGTTTCTGCTTAAGGAGACAGCTTGAGTTTTTACAGTAACCCCCAAATCAGGACATTTCACAAATGCTAAGAGGAGACTTTTGTAGTTTGAAACTCTATTTCTTGGTTTCAATTTTATTTTTAATGGCACAAAAACACATTAAAATTCAGTCCAAACCAGAAAACAATAAAGGCAAATTTTAAGTTCACAGATTTAAAAAAAACAACTAAAAAATCTTTGCAAACAAAGACAATCCCTTAGATGAAGATCTCCTGTGCTTGCAGAACCTGGCTCACTTGACATTTTCTTCTATGATTTCTCCTTTAAAAAAGCATTAAAACTGAGATAACTTAAGAGGAACTCCCTCTGTGTCTAGAGAAGGATAAAACCTCAAAATGAAATAATTTTTTCCATCCAAGCAAAACGTGCAAAGCTCACTGTTATAAAATTGTGTATCTAACTCCACGTTTCTCCTTAGGGCTCTTCTCTTCTAAACAATAACTGAATGGAGCACGATTTCTACAACGAGCAGCACAGCACAGTCCCTTTGGCAAGAACAAGGGTATCAGCACTGAATGACCAGTAACCTGGATGGGGGAACCAGGACTGAAAGGAGGGGCCCAAGAGGCCCAGAAGCCAGAAAGTTCAGAACCTTCTGTGGTCTCTTAAGACTGAAGAGACTTGAGGGTGGGCGGGTCTCACCAAACATTGGTATCAAATATACAAAAGACCAAAGGGAGTTGCCTCCAGAAAGAAAAGCCAAAACCAGGCTGAGGACTGACAAGACGCACAGGCCCCGGTTGGTGAGGAGGCAGCGGCGGCGGCCCGCCCGGCCAACGGCCTGAGCGGGCCGCCAAACCCAGCCGCCGAGCAGCTACCTTTCCGAGATCCCTCCCCCGCCGGGGCTGGCGCAAGATGGTGGCCCACCCGCCACCGCGCCGCCAAGTTCGTCCCCTCCCCCGCTCCCTTGGCGATCCTAGCAACACACGCCGGCATCCGGACCCTCAACCTGCCCCCCTCAGAGCCGAGCCGGCGCCGCCACCCTCAGAGCGATACGGCCACGGCCGTGTGGCAGAGCCGCTGCCGGCTTCAGCGAGAAGCAGGCGGGGGCGGGGGATCACTTACCGTGAGCAGAGCAGGTTGCCCTGACTGGGACTCGAAGGAGGAGGAGAAAGAGGAGGAGGAAAGGGAGGAGCGCGAAGACACTAGGCGGCGGCCACAGAAACGGCGGCAGCCGCGGCGACTCCCAGCGCGGAATGAGCGCCTCAGACCAAGGGAAAAGTATATAACTACGCGCACTGCCTCATGGGTAGACGCCAACTCCTCCCCCCACCCCACCCCGCCCGTGCACATCCGGGTTTCTTTTCTAACAGACCGGGAAGGGCGGCGCGGACATGTGCGTGGTCTTACACTTTCTCGAAGGCAGAGGCACTCTGGCAGTGCACTCTGGGCCACGGGCTGCGGGGGGAGGGCCAGGGTAAGGGTCCCACGCTGATGACGATCTCCTCAGTGAATCCATTATTCGACCTGAGTTGCAATCTTGAAATTTGGGCTGCACACCTTGAAAATGTGAATTCCGGGTCTTTCTTGAGTGTAAGAGACAGGAACACCAATAAAAATTAGTACTGTACCTGAGAGGCAAAGACATAAACCAGATGAGTAAAAGGAATAAAAGTCAGATTATTTGAATTATTGGTTAATTTCACCAAATTTGTTTTAAATAATATAACTTCGCTTGCAACTCCGTTAGTCTTGGCATATAGATGTCTATAATAGTTATTAAAATGTTAAGAAAAATATACATTTACAATAAAAACATTTGTCAAGATACTGCTTGCACAAACATTTTCTAAACATGTGTGTTCTGAAGAGTAAAAAAATTTCTTCTCCCAGTAGACCTTCAGAAGGTCTATGGCACTAGGGGTCCCGCTCTCAAATTACCCAGACTTAAAATCTTGCTTCATTAGTTCCTGAACACACACGTAAATTCAGTCAGTCACTGAATCCTACCAATTCTTCTATTTGAGTTAGTTTCTTCTTTCTCATCTATACTACACTTTGCTACTGGTCCTGAAAATAAGCTTTACAAGAAAAACAGAATAATCAAAATAACAACTATGGGAAGTTAAAAGTTCCAAAATCTTGGGGCATTCATAGATTCCTCCCCACTTCTGGACAGGCTAATAGGAAAGCCCAGTGCCTTCTCATTTGTTGTCAGTGGGAAATTTAAAACTCGCAACTCTCCAGCTGGCCTCTTCCTTTGGTGCTGATGAGACATTTAAAACTGTCAACTCTGCAGCCTGCCCACCATCTCCTTTGGCACAGGCATGAAATTTTAAACTTGCAAATCTACAGTCCGTGAAGGGAAGCTTTTCCCCAGTCCCATCCTCTAGACCCTAAAGGCCCAGCATACTTTCTCTTCCTCTCACAAGCCAACCCAGACCTGTTTGCTTTCCTGCTCTCCAGGGAGGTTCCTTGAGTAATAAAATTTCTTTCAGGGCACCTGGGTGGCTCAGTTGGCTAAGCATCTGCCTTTTGCTCAGGTTATGATCTTAGGATAATGGAATTGAGCCTGGTGTCCAGCTCCCTGCTCGATGGGGAATCTGCTTCTCCCTCTTCCTCTGATGCTCCCACCCCCCACCCCCCGCTCCTGCTTTCTCTCTCTCACATAAATGAATAAAAATCTAAAGTAAAATAAAATAAAATAAAATTTGTAATTCTCCCTGTGTATAGAGGGTTATGAGCCTCTACATCCAATCTAAAATTAGGGGGGGGGGAGGGTCAAATTGCCTCAGTGGGATGATCAGAAAACATTTATAAACCAAATCAAAATTCCAATCCAGGTTATTCTTTCTTCGTGGAAAATATAACAACCAAGAAGACCAGAAAACCCTGGTCAGCAAATTTTCTCTCAAAAGGAAATGTACACAGAAGCCAAACTATAATAAAAAGGATGCCTGGTGAGAATGGAGTCAACACATGGGAAATTGTTTGAATGGTTGACTCTCCTTAAAACTCCTCCTCAAGCTTCTAGAAAACCAGTCTGTTGGTTCTGTTAATTAACTGGCCACTGGTTATTTTTTCTCTTTTCAAGACTGCCATTAAATGAGGAGTTACTCCTATATAGTCTTTTTGGGGCAATTTTAAAAATTGAGATACTCACATAAAAAACCTCACCATTTTAAAGTGTACATTACAGGGGTGCCTGGGTGGCTCGGTCAGTTGGGCGTCTGCCTTCGGCTCAGGTCATGATCTCGGGGTCCTGGGATCGAGCCCCACATTGGGTTCCCTGTTAGGTGGGGAGTCTGCTTCTCCCTCTCCCTCTACCCTTCTCTCTGTCTCTCTCTCAAGTAAATAAATAAAATCTTAAAAAAAAATTAAAGTGGGCGCCTGGGTGGCTCAGATGGTTAAGCGTCTGCCTTCGGCTCAGGTCATGATCTCAGGGTCCTGGGATCGAGTCCCACATCAGGCTCCCGGCTCAGCGGGGAGCCTGCTTCTCCCTCTGACCCTTGCCCCTCTCATGCTGTTTCTCTCTCGCTCTCTAAAAAATAAATAAAATCTTTAAAAAAAATTAAAGTGTACAACACAGTGGTTTCTAATATATTCACAATATTATGTAACCATCATCACTATCTAACTTCAGAACATTTCCTTCATCCCCAAAAAGAAACCTCATACTTGTTTAAAGCCATTCCCAATTCCCTCCTGCCCACATACCCTGGTAACCTTTAATTAACTTTGTGTAATCTACAGATTTGCCTCTTCTGGACATTGCACATTGCATATAAACGGAATCATGCAATATGTAGCTTTTTGTGTCTGGTTTCTTTCACTTAACATAATGTTTTTGAGGTAGGTTCATCCATGTGGTAGCATGTGTCAGTATTCCGTTCCTTTTTATGGCTGCATAATATTTCATCATATAGATTATACCATATTTTTGTTTCTCCATTCTTCAGGTGATGGATATTTGGGGTGTTTCCATTTTGGGGGCTCTTATAAATAATGCAGCTATGAACACTGTGTATAAGACTTTTTCAAAAACAGCTTTATTGAGATATAGTTCACATTCCATACAATTCACCCATTTAATTGTACAATTCAATGGTTTTTAGTATAATCACAGATATGTGTGATCATAACCACAGTCAATTTTATAATTTTTTTAAAGATTTTTATTTATTTATTTAACAGAGATAGAGAGAGAGCACAAGTAGGCAGAGCGGCGGACAGAGGGAGAGGGAGAAGCAGGCTCTCCACTGAGCAGGAAGCCCGATGCGGGGCTCGATCCCAGGACCTTGGGATCATGACCTGAGCTGAAGGCAGCCGCTTAACTGACTGAGCCACTCAGGCGCCCCTAATTTTAGAATATTTTAACCACCCCAAAAGAAACCCCATACACATTAACTGCCATGCCCCTACCCACCCACCAGTTACTCCCCAGCCCTAGGCTACCACCACTCTGCTTTCTGTCTCTATTGATTTCCCTGATTTGGACATTCCATATAGATGGAGTCATATAATGTGTCATTGTGATTGGCTTTTCTTTCCCTCAGAATAGTATTTTCAAGGTTCATCCATGTTGTAGCACATACATCATTCCTTTTTATGGCCAAATAATATATCATGGTATGCATATAGCACATTTTATTTAGTCATTTGTCAATTGATGGGTAACTGGATTGTTTCCACATTTGGCTACTATGAATAATGCTGCTATGAACATTCATATATGCATTTCTTTAATTTTCTTGGTATCTATCTAAGAGTGTAAATGCTGAGTCATATGGTAACTCTGATTAACTTTTTGATGAACTACCAGTATTTTCCACAGTGGCTGCACCACCTTTCATTTCCACTAGGATTTATTATGATTCCGATTTCTCCACTACTTTGCCAATACTTTATTTTTTCTGTTTGTTTGGTGGTGGGTTTTTTGTTTTTTGGTTTTTTTTTTGGTTGGTTGGTTGGTTTTTGTTATAGCCATCCTAGTGGGTGTGAAACCATCCTAATGGATATAAACTGGCATCCCATTGTAATTTTTTTTAATTATTTATTTATTTATTTATTTATTTATTTTTTAAAGATTTTTATTTCTTTTTATTTGAGAGAGCATGAGAGGGGGGAGGGTCAGAGGGAGAAGCAGGCTCCTCGCCAAGCAGGGAGCCCGATGCGGGACTCGATCCCGGGACCCCAGGATCATGACCTGAGCCAAAGGCAGTCGCTTAACCGACTGAGCCACCCAGGCGCCCCATTGTAATTTTTTTTTTAAAGATTTTATTTATTTATTCATGAGAGACAGAGAGAGAGAGAGGCAGAGGGAGAAGCAGGCTCCCAAGGAGCAGGGAGCCCGATGCGGGACTCGATCCCAGGACCCTGAGATCATGACCTGAGCCGAAGGCAGACGCTTAACCATCTGAGCCACCCAGGTGCCCCCATTGTAATTTTGATTCACTTAATGCATTTGAGCATTTTTCATGTACTGATTGGTCATTTGTATATCTTCTTTGGATGGATGTCTATTTAAATCCTTTCTTCATTTTTACTTGGATTGTTTATCTTTTTTAAAGATTTTATTTATTTGAGAGAGAGAAAGAGAGACAGAGAGAGAGTGAGCACATGAGCAGGCAAAAGGGGCACAGGGGGAGGGAGAAGCAGGTTCCCAGCTGAGCAGGGAGCCCTACATGGGGCTCGATCCCAGGATGCCAGGATCATGACCCGAGCTGAAGGCAGACGCTTACCCGACTGAGCCATCCAGGTGCCCCTATCTTTTTATTGTTGAGTTGTAAGACTTCTTTAAACATTCTGGATACTAGGTTGTTATTAGATATATAGTTATATGGTTGGCAAATATTTTCTCCCATTCTGTGAGTTGTTTTTTCATTTACTCGATAGTGTCCTTTGATGCATCAAAATTTAATTTTGATGAAATCCACTTTATATTTTTGTTCTGTTGTATATGCTTTAGGTATCATATCTGCCGGCTAATCGAAGGTCACAAACATTTACCTATGTTTTCTTCTAAGGATTTTATTTATTTATTCATTTTAAAAGATTTTATTTATTTACTTGAGAGAGAGTGAGAGAGCACAGAGGGAGAGGGAGAAACAGGCTCCCCGCTGAGCAGGGAGCCCAATGCAGGGCTCAATCCCAGGACCTTGGGACCATGACCTGAGCCGAAGGCAGATGCTCAACCGACTGAGTTACCCAGGCACCTCTAAGGGTTTTATAGTTTTAGGTTTTAAATTTAGGTTTTTGATCCATTTTGAGTTAA